GCAAAACTTTCTTCTGGTCCTTCTTCCCCCCCAATTTTGTCAGGTGTAACACGAATTGCTTCGTCGGAGACGGCGGGCATTGGCTGCTGTTGACGATCGCGTTCGTAACTAAGGTGGACTTTGCGAACGTCATCCTGGTCAGCATCTGCAAGAGGAATAAACTCCGGTATGCCGGTCGAGGTGACAGGTTCAGGAATGTCTGTTGCGGCAGCTTCGGAAGCTTCAGAAATGGCCTCATCCTATACATCAGCTTCGGCTTCGTCAGTTGCAAATGCACGCGAGCCTTCGAACAGCCTGGCGGGGTTGGCAGCTGCTGCCTGGTGGGCACGAAAAACGGGCAAAGTGAGTCTTTCATAGAAGAGACAATCACATGATGGGATGATTTGGTTGGAGCGAAGATCCAAAATCTTCCATGCGTGATACTGTTTTTCGATGCCGAGGTGTACCCCCCATTTTGCTCGTTCAGAAAACTTCCCGAGTGCTGCAGTGGGAGGACGAAACTGCACAACACACCCGAAAACTCGTAAAAGTTTGGTACTTCCCACTGTACGTGTCCACTGCAGGTGCGGAGAGGAAAACTCGGGCAGGGACGTTGAAGAAAGAAGATTGTGTAACAGCACGGCGTGGTCCATCGCATACGGCCAAAAACGTGGTGGAAGGGCTATCTGCGTCAGCAGAGCACGCATCTTCTCTTGCAGAATTCGGTTCATCCTCTCTGCTACCCCCATCTGGTGGTGTGCATACGGCAGTGACTGCTTCCGTTTGATGCCGAGTGTCTGAAGGTATTCTGTGAAAGTGTTGCTGGTGTACTCCCCTGCACCATCACTCTGAAATTCTTGCAGTTTCACGCCTGACTCTCGTTCAGCGACAGCGAGCCATGCGACGAAGACGGAGTGAGTGAGATAACGAGCGGGAAGGTTTGCTGTCCAGGCGTAGCGTGTAGATGCTTCTATGAATGTTATCACGTACTGCTCGTCTTTAGGTCCTGCTTCAGGTAAGTTTAGAACGTCGCTGTAAACTTTCTGCATCAGTTTATAACATGTGGAGCCAGGAAAATGACTTGGAAACGGATCGTGCGTAAGGTTGGCGACCGGACACGTGGTGCAAACCATGGGACGGGACTGCGGCTTCATCTCCGTGCCGTCAGGTAAAAGAAGACTGTTTTTATCCAGAACTGCTGCTCGTATTGAATGATTTAAAATCCCTTGCGACGGATATCCTAACCGTTTTGCCAGATATCTTTTGTGGCTTTGTGTCCTGATGATCGCAGGTAGAAATCGGCGTTAGTATAGAAAGAAGAAATGATAAAAGGAGAAAGCGCTGGTGACCTGTCAACTTCTCCTTCAACGAAACGTGTAAGTGGTAACGGAACATTTCAAGGGGCTACTGGAGTTGCGATTGCAACTTCTGATGCTGCTTTTGTTGATGTTGTGGCTGGTGTTTCGGCAACAGCTACTGTTGAACACGGTTGCTCGGCGACTTCTTCATTTTCGGCTTCGTCAACGACGTCAGGTTCGCCAGCTGCAAGTCCACTAATTTCCCCCCAAAGTGGAGCTGGAGTTTCTTGAAGAGCCTCACGGGTTGTATAAAACGTTCGCTAAGCGTTGGCGCCTTCATCAGCAATATTGAACTCCGAAGTATCTAGTGCAATAAGTACAGCGGCTGCAGTTCGAGAAGCCGTTGGAATAGTAGTTGCTCAAAAATCAATATCCACGTGTTGATAATCTGTTTCTTCTGGGTGATCCCAGGGACCAAGGGCAAGGACGCGTTCAGAGTCTCAAGAAGTTCCTTGTGCCGCGAACTGAAGAACGGATACGCCATGTAAAGTGGCGGCACGACCAAGGTAAGTATTCGTTGAACTGTGCCAGAGCTCCTGATCCATCGTTTCACAATTGCCCTGTGTGCGGATCTTGTGTGCCAGGAGCTGAGCCGTGGAAAGTAGATTGAATCCAAGGCCGGCGACGATAAGAACATTGGTAACATGTAGTGAGTATCCCGTGTCGATAGATTCGAGCATTACACTCCCAACAGAACGTGCCATAATAGTTTGTCCGTTTCCGACTGTGACAGGTATCGGATGACGAAGTGGACGCTGGTTGGTGATGAAGCTTGTTTCTGCGGAACACATGTGCCAACCGCAGCAGCTATCGAGATACCAAGTATTCTGACCTGAAATTATTCGAGCAAGGTTAGCGTAAACTTGAGGTAAGGGAATGCCTTAAGAACTTGTGGTTTCTTCAAGTCGTGTTTCGAAATCTGTTTCTTAAACATCAACTGTGGTGACGCATCCAAAGACCCCTTTCCCTGATGTTGCAGATGCTAAAACCGGAGGACGATGCTGTGACGATGATGGATTCTGTGGCGTTTTTGGCATCTGCTGCATTTGAGTCGTCGACTGCTGCATTGGCTGATATGGCTTTGGTAACTGCTGCGAGCGATGATAAGGCTGTGAAGTGCTGCGACGGTTTTGATGTCGTCTGCGACAATTCTGGTAAGTGTGTCCTGGTTTCTTGCAGAAATGGCAGAAAGGATATTTCGGGGGATGACGATGTTGTGCTTCTGGATTTGAGTAAAAACTTAAAATGAACCCCTTTCTTTTGATTGTGTTGTGACTGCAGGTCAAGATCTTGCTGCTCTGCTTGAAGATATGAAGAGATTTCGGCTTCGGAAAGGTTCGGGTTCATTCGTAGGAAGGCGCGCGTCTGTCGCCATTCGGGTCCAAGACTAGCAAGAAGTACTGTGAGATACATCTCACGAGGGAAGTATCCTCCACTCTTCTCCAGTTGATCTCGTAGTGTACGGATGCGATTAACGTAGTCTATGACGTTTTCGTTTGTCATCATCTGCACACTTGTCAGCTGCGGAAGCATTTTACTCATTGTTATTGTATCCTTTGCCATGTATACCCCCTTCAGATGGTTCCAAGCAGTTTCGGCTGGTGTAAAGCTTGAGTGAAATGATCGGACGCCGAGCTGCTCCTTCGGCGACAGGTTCCGAACGAGAACTGTATAAGCCCTGAGAGAGGCGTGCAAGAAACTCTGCTGCTCCAGTTGTGTTCCCACGACATGATACGTGAACTCGCTGGTGAAGAACGGCCATAGCCCAGCGGACTGCGCCAGAATCTCAAACTCAAAGCTCCAGGAGTAGAAGTCGACTCCGTTAAATGGTATAGTGGTTTTTATCTGTGTGCTGTTAAGTAAATTTGGAGGCTGAAAAATAATACCCGGCTGTTGCCGTTGCTGTTGAAATTGCTGTGGCTGCTGATGATGCTGTTGTTGTTGCTGTTGCTGAGCAGGGGAACGACCGAAAGTGTAGAAAGGATGCTGAAACTGCTGCGACTGCGGCTGCTGTACAAAAGGTGAGAAAGTGAACGAACCAGTACTTGGAGCTGTGGCTCCACGCATATAACTTGAGCCATCAAGGCTCATTCCACTGAACGCAGATGAAATTGATTGCGTTGAAACTGGTGGCTGTACTGATGCTTGTTGCTGTACTGTTGTCTGTGATTGTTGTTGTTGCACTGCAGGTGCAGTTGAAGAAACACCTGGAGTGTTAACAGAAGGCGGATTCTGCTGTTGCATACCGATATGAGCATAGGCTTGTGGAAACGGCCCAGAGGCTGAGAGACCAGTGGCGGTCGTGGAGACATGTACTCCAGTAGTTCCGGAAGTTGATCCGGCAGACGGTGCTGGTGATGAACCAGTCATTGTTGACAGTAGTCTTAATTCCAGATAGCTCTCATACCATGAAATAACTTGACCAATGTGATAAAAGACTAAGTATAAAACTGCAAACACGAACACTTGGAAATCCTCAAGTGTTGGTCCAGGATCTTTACTGGAATGGTAGACTAGTAAGACAGCGGAAGTCTTGTAAAAAGAATCAGTCAATGTTCAATAACCTGAGTACGTGAACTTGTGAGTAATCAAAAGTTAATAATGAAAAACCTACCGTAACAAGGATTTATAGTTCTATGAAAATTACCTATTCGCTAATGTACCTGTTCGTCACTATCGCGCTATGCGCCCTAAACGATAATGAAGAGGTGCGACTATTCGCGTGACTGAAACGACTGTCCTATGACGTGCGCTATTTGCTGACGTGATCCTACGGACTTATCTTCTACAGTAGGATTCGACACTATCTATCGATAAACAACTTACTGAAATGCTAAGTACGAAATATACCACAACATTTTTTACCGCTCAATTGACCGATTTAAAGGAGGACTATACCTGAAATTGTCAAAACGAGCTCTTTTTCATAAATCACAGAAGTTGTTGCCAGTATTTTCTATGCCTATTTTCGATGACATACATAGTAAGCTTGTTACGAATGTTCACTCAGTTTTGGATCTTGCATATGGTTAGAAAGGCACAACAAAGCCACCTCACACCTTTAAACTGAATTTAAAGCTAATTTTTATCACTCAAATGACCGATTTACAGGAGGAAAATACCAGAATTTTTCAAAACGAGCTCTTTGTCATAAGTCACAGGAATTGTTGCCAGTATTTTCTATGCTCATCTTAGATGACCTGCATAGTAAGCTTGTTACGAATCTTTCTATACGTGCAAACAATTCGAATCATGTGTGAAAGAATCATCTGTCCACTCTCGATGATGCGCGGAATTGGCGCGCCCAGTCATCCCATATTTGAAGGCTTCGTTTGTAGCCCACCAGCCTCGCATCTTTGCCTCCGAAAATTACGTGGCACGAACACACTCCAGCCGCTCTTCCGCTTCGGTAAACCAACTACTTTTATTGGCCGTGAGGGGCCCGAAGCGGCTTACACCAACCGCCTGGTTAGGCTTGGGGTTTGCTGGCCTGGTTTGTGTGGCACTCATCCGTGATTTCCGCGCCGCGGGGGGCATGCTCCGAGCCTCAACTCTCCAAGCCTTTCTCTCCCCAACCTCCCTCCCCTCTCCCTCTGCCAAGCGACACCGTCGCTCTCGCAAAACCCGAGGGGCGAACCTCAGAACTGCCGCTGCGATCCATTAGTCTCCTTTACCTCAACCCAGTCATGCACACAGACACTCTGCTCTCTCCCTAGGTTCTGGAGTGGTTAGTCAGGCTCCACAGCAAACAGCGTCTGATTTAGGAGATAGGCTTCTAAGGCGGATCGCTGTTCCGTAGTCGAACCGACGTCTTCTTGATTTTTTCGTAGTTAACTTGTTCCTGTAGCTCCTATAGAGAGACATGGAGGGGGGCGGAGGTGATTCCGTGAGTATGAGCTCTATGTCAGCCGACGACTCGGCAAGGAAGCACAAGGTTCAGGCTACAGAAGGTGAGTTGCATGACTCCTTACGTCGGATACGAACTCCCTGTTCCTGTGCTGTAAGTTTGTTGCTTTCTTTTTAACCCAAACAAAGTCTCACTTGTCTGGCTACGATGCATGGTTAAAGTCCGCGTCTTTTATTTCCCAGGTTTAGCCTCTTAGTTCGTACGCCTGGTTAGATCGCCCTACTTCGCAGCCAATCTGGTCGCTCTCAACCAAGTGCTAACACATACCCAGCTGTATCTTGCACGGAAACGTATCCATACATATGCCATCTCAAACTCCTTTCTTGAGCGTGGTTCATGGCCCTCTGTGGGCTTTCATGTTGCTCTGCCTGAACGCTCACGATCTCGTCTTGCCAAGTAAGGCCGATCCACCCCTCGGACGATCTAGTGTTAAATGCTTATCTCCCCTCAAATTGATTGCAGGCAAGGCCGGCGCGGGACGCGGCCGCGGAGGAGGCAGGGACGCGGGAAGAGGACGCGGGGGGGCAGCAAGCGGAGGTCGAACGAGTGCCGCCGACGGCGGCAGGGGCCGCGGTGTCGACGGCAAGGGCAGGGGGGACGCCGTCGCTGGTCGCGGGAGAGGCGGCGAGGCTGCAGCCACGAGGGGCCGCGGAGCTGCTGCGGGAGGCCGCGAGGGCGCGAGAGGACGAGGCGCGGAAAGCGGACGCGGACGGGGGGTCGCGACAGCAGGCCGAGACGGAGGTCGGGGAGGGAGGGGCAAAAGCATTGACGGGGTGGGGGGCCGTTCCATGGGGGCCAGAGGCAGGGGCGATGCCGCGCGGGGAAGGGGCCCTGGCGGTAGAGGCCGCGGAGCTAGCGGACGCGGGGAAGGACGCAAGGACACAGACGCTGGTGAAAGCAAGAGCCAAGCGAAGGACGAGGAGCACGAGGAAGAAGCGACTGAGGCTGCTCATGACGAGGCCGTAGGGGGAGCATATGGCGAAGACTCGCATGAGGTTGATCACGCTGATGCCTCCAAGGAAGGCGAAGACGGAACCACAGCGAAGGAAGGAGAGTATGACGGTGCAGAGGATACCGCAAAAGGAGAAGGTGCGGAAGCAAGCTACGAGGATGAAACAACGGGCACAGGAGCTGAAGTGGAGGAGGACACTGAGGCCGCTGTAAGGAAGGTTGCAGAGGAAGTGGCCGCCGGAAATGCTTCAGAGGAGCAGGCTGAAGGGGAGGCTGCTGAGAAGGAAGCAGCCCAGAAGGCTGCAGAGGAGGAAGCAGCCCAGAAGGCTGCAGAGGAGGAAGCACCCCAGAAGGCGGCTGAGGAAGCTGCGAAGAAGGCGGCAGACGAGGATGCTGCGAAGAAGGCGGCAGAGGAGGAAGCTGCGAGGAAGGCTGCAGAGGAGGAAGCTGTGAAGAAGGCTGCAGAGGAGGAAGCTGTGAAGAAGGCTGCAGAGGAGGAAGCTGTGAAGAAGGCTGCAGAGGAGGAAGCTGCAAAGAAGGCTGCAGAAGAAGCTGCGAAGAAGGCTGCAGAGGAGGAAGCTGCAAGGAAGGCGGCAGAGCAAGAAGCTGCAAGGCTGGCGGCAGAGCAAGAAGCTGCAAGGCTGGCGGCAGAGGAAGAAGCTGCAAGGCTGGCTGCAGAGGAGGAAGCTGCTAGGAAGGCTGCAGAGGAAGAGGCTGCGAGGAAGGCTGCAGAAGAAGAGGCAGCTAAGAAGGCCGCGGAGGAGGAAGCTGCTAGGAAGGTTGCAGAGGAGGAGGCTGCTAGGAAGGCTGCGGAGGAGGAAGCTGCGAGGAAGGCTGCGGAGGAGGAGGCAGCTAAGAAGGCTGCGGAGGAGGAAGCTGCGAGGAAGGCTGCAGAGGAAGAGGCAGCTAAGAAGGCCGCGGAGGAGGAAGCTGCTAGGAAGGCTGCAGAGGAAGAGGCTGCTAGGAAGGCTGCAGAGGAGGAAGCTGCTAGGAAGGCTGCGGAGGAGGAAGCTGCGAGGAAGGCAGCGGAGGAGGAGGCAGCTAGGAAGGCTGCAGAAGAGGAAGCTGCGAGGAAGGCTGCAGAGGAAGAGGCAGCTAAGAAGGCCGCGGAGGAGGAAGCTGCTAGGAAGGCTGCAGAGGAAGAGGCTGCCAGGAAGGCTGCAGAGGAGGAAGCTGCTAGGAAGGCTGCGGAGGAGGCAGCTAGGAAGGCTGCAGAGGAGGAGGCTGCAAGGAAAGCGGCAGAAGAGGAAGCTGCAAGGAAGGCTGCGGATGAAGAGGCTGCAAGGAAGGCGGCAGAGGAAGCTGCAAGGCTGGCTGCAGAGGAGGAGGCTGCTAGGAAGGCTGCGGAGGAGGCAGCTAGGAAGGCTGCAGAGGAGGAGGCTGCAAGGAAAGCGGCAGAGGAGGAGGCTGCAAGGAAGGCTGCAGAGGTGGAAACTGCAAGGAAGGCGGCAGAGGAAGAGGCTGCTAGGAAGGCTGCGGAGGAGGAGGCAGCTAGGAAGGCTGCAGAGGAGGAAGCTGCAAGGAAGGCTGCGGAGGAGGAAGCTGCGAGGAAGGCTGCGGAGGAGGAAGCTGCAAGGAAGGCTGCAGAGGAGGAAGCTGCGAGAAAGGCTGCGGAGGAGGAGGCAGCCCGGAAGGCTGCGGAGGAGGAGGCAGCCCGGAAGGCTGCAGAGGAGGAAGCAGCCCAGAAGGCTGCAGAGGAGGAAGCAGCCCGGAAGGCTGCAGAGGAAGCAGCCCGGAAGGCTGCAGAAGAGGAAGCAGCCCAGAAGGCCGCGGAGGAGGAAGCAGCCCGGAAGGCCGCGGAGGAGGAAGCAGCCCGGAAGGCCGCGGAGGAGGAAGCAGCCCGGAATGCTGCAGAGGAGGAAGCAGCCCGGAAGGCTGCAGAGGAGGAAGCAGCCCGTAAGGCTGCAGAGGAGGAAGCAGACCGGAAGGCTGCAGAGGAAGAAGCAGCCCAGAAGGCTGCAGAAGAGGAATCAGCCCAGAAGGCTGCAGAAGAGGAAGCAGCTCAGAAGGCTGCAGAGGAGGAAGCAGCCCAGAAGGCAGCAGAGGAGGAAGCAGCCCAGAAGGCAGCAGAGGAGGAAGCAGCCCAGAAGGCAGCAGAGGAGGAAGCAGCCCAGAAGGCAGCAGAGGAGGAAGCAGCCCAGAAGGCAGCAGAGGATGAAGCAGCTAAGAAGGCAGCAGAGGAGGAAGCAGCCCGGAAGGCAGCAGAGGAGGAAGCAGCAAGGAAGGCTGCAGAGGAGGCAGCTAAGAAGGCAGCAGAGGAGGAAGCAGCTAAGAAGGCTGCAGAGGAGGAAGCAGCTAAGAAGGCAGCAGAGGAGGAAGCAGCTAAGAAGGCAGCAGAGGAGGAAGCAGCTAAGAAGGCTGCAGAGGAGGAAGCAGCCCAGAAGGCTGCAGAGGAGGAAGCAGCTAAGAAGGCTGCAGAGGAGGAAGCAGCCCAGAAGGCTGCAGAGGAGGAAGCAGCCCAGAAGGCTGCAGAGGAGGAAGCAGCCCAGAAGGCTGCAGAGGAGGAAGCAGCCCAGAAGGCTGCAGAGGAGGAAGCAGCCCAGAAGGCTGCAGAGGAGGAAGCAGCCCAGAAGGCTGCAGAGGAAGCAGACCAGAAGGCTGCAGAGGAAGCAGCCCAGAAGGCTGCAGAGGAAGCAGCCCAGAAGGCTGCAGAGGAAGCAGCCCAGAAGGCTGCAGAGGAAGCAGCCCAGAAGGCTGCAGAGGAGGAAGCAGCCAAGAAGGCTGCAAAGGAGGAATCAGCCCAGACGGCGGTCGAGGAGGAAGCAGTTAAGAAGGCTGCGGAGGAGGAAGCAGCTAAGAGGACTGCAGAGGAGGAAGTCAAGGAAACTGCTGATGAGGGTGGCGTGAAGGTGGCTGATGAGGATGCTGCTTTGAAGGATAGTGCAGCAGCTGCTTCTTCTGAACTCACAGTTGACACAAGTGCAACCACAGCGGCTGCTGCTACAACTGAAGTGCCTGCTGACACTACATCTGTTGCTGCTGTTTCTGAGCCTGATGCTGCTGCTGTTGCAGAGCCTGTTGCTGTTGCTTCTGCGACTACCACTGCTGCTGTTGTGTCTGAGCCTGCTGCTGCTGCTGCTGCTGCTGAGCCTGCTGCTGCTGCTGCTGCTGCTGCTGTTGCTGAGCCTGCTGCTGCTGCTGTTGCTGAGCCTGCTGCTGCCAGCAAGCAAAGTACAACTACTGCCGAGTCTGCAGCAGCTGCTGCTGCTCCTGCTGAGTTCATCGAGACGCCTGCTGCTCCAGGTGGTGATGCGCCCCCCCCAGCAGAGAAGGCTCCTTCACCTCGTGTGCTGACACCACCACCACCAGTGGTGGCCTCTGCAGATGCCCCTCCTGTATCTGCTCCACCGGCTGCTACAGAAAAGGCTGCTCCGGCTGCCACGCCTTCCCCGCCTGCCAAGAAAGGGGGTGGTCTTTTCTCGTGCTGCTTTGGAGGGAACTGACGTTGCCGGTACGGTACTATTTATGAAAGCTCACGCATCTGCTCATCCGGCATATATGATTGTTAGAATAGTACCTTCTGGGATCGCTTTCTGCTAGGTATGGTCATTGACATTCTGGGAAGCTGTGACGTGTATTAGTTTTTTCTCGTAATAAATTGATCTGAAGTTGCGCTTGTAGCTATTTGTTCACATAAACGCACTTTGCTATTGGGTCAGTGGGTGGCCAATTTCGAGATTACTGGGTCTCTTCCATTCCCATTATCGAGTACAGTTTCTGCCACGGCAGTGCCTGACGGTTATGGCGTGGCAACCGTCACTTCCGTCTGTGCCCACCTCAGCTCCACGCTGAGCAGGTTGGCACTTGGAGGCGCATCTCACTTGACTGGTCTGGCCTCTCCTAGGGGCCTTGCTCCTGCTCCGTCATACGCACAAGCCTGACCTCAACTCAACTCAGGCCCCGTTCAGGAGTTTGGCCAATCCACGAAGTTTTCCCACGCGGTTCGGAAAGCCATAAAACACATTTCCATGTGTGCCCACTCGGCTCGAGGTTTGCCCAACCAAAACTCTCCAGCCATGCTCTCTACGACGTGGGCCCTCGACAAAGTGCGACCAAAACCCCCGTCAGGATGCATGCTGCCCTCGCATTCTGGTTTGGAAGCTGGTTGTGGACTCTTCCTGATTCGCCGCAAGCTGGCATGATTCGCAATTTGTCGTTCAGGGGTCGCGAAATCTGTCGTAGGGGGATATGGAGGTCGGTTGGGCAAAGTGGGGTGCTGCCCCACTTTGCCCGCCAGTTGGCGCTGAAACCGAGTCGCATGGGCGAAGTTGGGGTATGGCCCAACTCCTCAATGCGATCTCAACACAACACCGAGACTTGAGCGAGAGTCACCATTCACTTCACCCCACCACCCTCGCACATCCCTCTCGCCAGTCCGATCCTGTCCCTCACCTCGCATCTCTCACCCTCCGCGCTCTCCACAACTATCGCCCTTAGCGTATCGTCCGCCCTCCTTGTCACTGCCTTCCCCTCGGCGCGCTGTGCTCGCAACGCGTTCCGCGCAACACCCTTCAAGATGCTAGCGAGAGCAGCTTCGCGGATTGGGCGGAGCGCGAGGGGCATCGCCGCAGGCGGAGCAGCCGCGCGCTGTGGAGGGAGTTTCGTCGGGCGCGCGCCACCAGAGGTACTAGGGCGGAAGTAGCAGGTGGGGAAGTCGCAATTACCAAAGTATCCGCGTGGCGCGCGGATTGAAAAGCCCGCCCTCGCCGGTTGAGTGCGGGAAGACACGTGGCGGCAGGCCGCGTTATCCGCGTCTCCACATTCACGGCGTGCCGCTCCTCCTGCTCGACCCAGCGACGTCGCTCCCCATGCGCGCACCATCCCTCAGCCCAGTTCACCAACCATCTCTCCGCTCTCCCGCCTCTTCCGTCCGCCCCGCTCCTCTTTCTCCGACCCCCGCCCCTCCCCCTCCACCCTTGCAGGTCCCCGTCACAGGCGCAGCAGGCGCGCGGCAGCACGGGTTGGGGGTGAGTGCGGTGGCAGCGAGCGGCGGCAGTGCCGCGTGTTTCTCGTCAGCAGCGGTGGGCGGAGGATCGGCGTTGCTGGACGAGACGGCCGTGCAGGTACGATGGTGACCATGGTGGGGATGGCGATAGTGGCCTGCTGCCCATGCTGGCCAAGTGATGGCGACGTGGAGCCATAAGCTCATGGCGCGGGGTGGTGCTAGCTTGCCACAGCGACGTTCGCCCTCGCGGCTCCTCCCCTTCCATTGCACGTCCCTTTCTCCGCCGCCTACCAACGCCTTCCGCTGCTCCCTGTGCGGTCTGGGCTGTCATGGGCGTGTGCGTGTGGCGCTGGGATGGTCGTGGGGCTGGCATGATTGGGGGTGGGTGGGGGGTGGCGTGTGGTGGTGCGCAGTTCAAGGAGAGCGTGCACAAGTTCGCCCAGGAGGTGATAGCGCCGCATGCTGCTGACATTGACAGAGACAACTCCTTCCCCAAGGTATGTGCGCCCAGGCCTGCTAACAACCCAACACTCTACTACATGTAACATCCTCACTTGCTTGTAAGCTCTCGAATACTCCGACCTGTAGCCATGGCATCCCACCTCCCCTGTGTCGGCCCCTCACACCCTCCCCGCCCCTCATGGCAGCACGTGGATCTGTGGCGGCTCATGGGCGACTTCCATGTGCACGGCATCACTGTGCCGGGTCAGTCCTGCTGCCACGCCACCTCGCTCCATGCCATGCCGTGCCATGCCGTGCCATGCCATGCCATGCCATGCCATGCCATGCCGTGCCATGCCATGTCTCTCATCCCTCTTGTGTGCTGCGAGCCTGAGAAGCCATCCCCGTGTGTCTGCCCTGCCACCCACGTTCCGTCCCCCCTTCCTCCCCCCCTCTCCTCCCCTGGCGGCGCAGAGCAGCAGGGCGGCATGGGGCTGGGGTACCTGTACCACTGCCTGGCCATGGAGGAGATCAGCCGCGCATCAGGCGCCGTGGGGCTGTCGTACGGCGCGCACTCCAACCTCTGCATCAACCAGCTCGTGCGCCCCCCGCCCCTGCATGCCCGCCTGCACCTGTGCTCCCACCCCTGCCCCTCCCTCGCGCACCACCGCCCTCTCCTCCTTGTCCATCACTACGCCCTCTTTCTCACTTTCGTCTCTCTCCCATCTCAATATCGCTTCGAATGGCTTCTCCTTGCGGTAACTGCTTCTCGCCTCAACTGCCTGCTGCTTGTGCTGTGTGCGGGAGCAGGTGCGGCATGGCACAGAGGAGCAGAAGGCCAAGTACTTGCCCAAGGTGTGGTGTGATGCGCACATGCCCTCCTGCAACCCCGCTCCTCTTCCCTACTTTCCACATTCTCTCCTGCCCTTCCCTCCCTTTCCCCCACAACACCTTTGAACCCATCTGCGCCCATCTCTCCCCTCCCCTCTCCTCTCCCTCCCCTCCACTCCCCCTCTCTCCCGGCCCTCTGCGCAGCTGGTGGCAGGCGAGCATGTGGGCGCGCTGGCCATGAGCGAGCCCAACTGTGAGGCACGGGGGGCAGGCGGAGAGGGCTCGGGAGAGGGGGCTTTGGAAGGGGGTGGGTCAGTGATAGGGCGAATTGGGAATGAAGAGAGAAGGGCATTGCAACCTTCATGTGGCGCAAGGAGCATGAGCATGGCTGCTCGCATGGCCACATCCGAACATCATGGCATGGCAGCAATTGATCTCTCCGTGCCATGCCCTACTCCCATCTCCAGCTCTCTCCACTCTCATTGCATCCCTGCCCATCACCCCACTGCCGCTTCCCTCCCTCCCTCCCACCCACCCTGCGTGTGTGCATGTGCGGGGTGCAGCGGGGTCGGACGTGGTGAGCATGCGGTGCCGCGCGCAGCGGGGGCAGGGCGGGTTTGTGCTGAACGGCACCAAGATGTGGTGCACCAACGGACCCGTCGCCAACACTCTTGTAAGCTGCTCCGCCTGCCGTGTGCCATGCCATGCCATGCTGTGTGATGCTCCTCTAGCCCAATCCGCCTTCACGCTATCATGCACCTTCTCTTGTTTGATTTCCATGTCACATGCATCATATCCGATGCGCTGCACCCCAATTCATCCCATGCCACCCCATGGCTCCCCATGCCACCCCATGCCGCCCCATGGCTCCCCATGGCACCCCATGCGAGCAGATTGTGTACGCCAAGACGGACATGAAGGCTGGGCCTAAGGGAATCACTGCTTTTATCATCGAACAAGGCATGCAGGGGTGAGGCGTGCAGGGGTGGGTGAGGAGCAGAGAGATTCACTTGAGAGTAAAGTATAGGGAGGAGGGCTGCAGGGAGGAGGGAGTGTGGCGAGACGAGCATGGGAACGGACTTTGCTCACGGATTTCTGTCCATATGGCTGTGTGGTGGCATGGCATGGCATGGCAGGTTCCGCACAGCACAGAAGTTGGACAAGCTGGGCATGAGAGGCAGCGACACGTGAGTGCACTCCCATCTCTCTTCCTCCTCCTTTCCGCTCCCGCCTTATCTCTCTCGTTCGCGCTCTCTCCCTCCCGATCCTCCCTCCTCTCTCTTACCATTGCTCATCCACTGCAAATCGTGTCATGTCAACCCATCCTCTCCTCCCTGCTGCCCTCCCCCATCAGCATCGCTTGCCTCTATCACCTGTTTTTAGCCGACCCACATTGTATGAATCCCCTCTCCCCCCCCCCCCCCCCCGTGCGTCTACATGTGCGGGCGCCATCAGGTGCGAGCTGGTGTTTGAGGACTGCTTCGTGCCGCATGAGAACGTGCTTGGGCAGGAGGGGCAAGGTCCGTGCTGCTGCCTCTGCATTTACGCCCTCTACTATGTGCCGCATGCTGTGTGATGCATGCTATGTGCTGCATGCTATGTGCTGCATGCTATGTGCTGCATGCCGTGTGCTGCATGCCATACGCTGCATGTGCAGCATCCCTTATGTGCATTGCACCATCCGCATACCAGCTCCCCATTTCCTCCTGCACCCGCACACCATGTGCTCTTCCATCCCTTCCGCCTTTGACGTATCCTCCCCTCCCCCTCCCCTCCCCCTCCCCCTCCCCCTTCCCCTCCCCCTCCCCCTCCCCCTCCCCCTCCCCCTCCCCCTCCCCCTCCCCCTCCCCTCCCCCTCCCCCTCCCCTCCCCCTTCCCCTCCCCCGTGTGCGCCAGGAGTGTACGTGATGATGTCGGGGCTGGACCTGGAGCGAGTGGTGCTGGCGGGGGGGCCCGTGGGGCTGATGGCGGCGGCCATGGACGTGGTGCTGCCGTACGTGCACCACAGGGAGCAGTTCGGGCAACCCATTGGGGAGTTCCAACTCATCCAGGTCTGCACCCATGCTCGCCGCCTCTTAACCTCTCATCATCTCATGCTCTCATGCTCTCATGCTCTCATGCTCTCATGCTCTCATGCTCTCATGCTCTCATGCTCTCGTGCTCTCATGCTCTCGTGCTCTCATGCTCGTGCGTCTTATCGCCCATCTGCTAACAATGGCAGCCTTGTTGGCTTGCTGACTCGTGTCCCATCATGCTCACCTGTCGTCTCCACTCCGTGGCTCAACCCCCACATTCCATTCACCTCTCGCCCCTCGCATCGCCCCTCGCCCCCCAGGGCAAGCTAGCAGACATGTACTGTGCCGCGCAGGCCTCACGGTCAGTTGCTCGCCGCCCTACCTGCTCTTGCACGTGCTGCCCCAGTTATTTGCCTGCTCCCTTGTGGTGCCCTGCCTCTTGCCCAAGGGACGCATCCCCTGGCACATGCATAGTGTGAGTGGCAGAGTCTCCTCAAACTCCTACCCTACTCCTCTTGCTGTTGCTGTTTTCCACCTCTGCCCTGCTCTCCCTCCTCCCGCCCACCCACGTGCTGCTGCGCTGCAGATCGCTGGTGTACAGTGTTGCCATGGCATGTGACCGGGGTCATGTGGATCGTAAGGTACACCACCATGTGGGGCTCGCTCCCCGTTGTGCATGCACATGCACATGCACATGCACATGCACATGCACATGCACATGCATGCCAAGTAGCCATCTCTCGTCTCGAATATTGTCTCTCTGCCGTTGCTGGCGTGTGCGGTTCTCGTAAAGTCATGAAGTCGTGATTGACTTCATTCACTTACCCTTCACTTCCTCTCCCCTCCCTGCTCTCCCTGCAGGACTGTGCAGCAGCCATACTCTTTGCAGCAGAGAACGCCACTCAGGTCGCCTTGCAGGTATCGGCTCTACTCCCCTTGGCTCCACTCATGTGCACCCTCTCCTTCCTCTCCTCGCACCTCCTCCGCGCCACATATCTCCTCATCGCCTCCCCAGTAGCACCCACGCTCCCCCCACCAGCACTCATTGCCTGCCTCCACATCAGCCCTCCTCTCCCCTCACTCCCCCCTTTCCCCTCGTGCTTTCCTCGCCATCTCCTCCCACCCCCCCAGGCCATCCAGTGTCTGGGCGGCAACGGGTACGTGAACGAGTACCCCACGGGGCGCCTGCTGCGCGACGCCAAGCTGTATGAGATCGGTGCCGGGACCAGTGAGATCCGCCGCATGCTCATTGGCCGCCAGCTCTTCCGCGAGACCGCGTGATGGCAGGGGCGCAAAGCAGCGAGGCATGGCGAACAACCTTCAACGCATGGTGCAGTTGGTTGTACATTGCACGGCCGGATGCTGCCGTGCCTCATTTGATTCCTTCTCCCTGATTTCCTTGTTCTCTATATTGTATATATCTTGAGACTCACGGTATCACAGTTGCCATTTGGTAGCTTTGGCTAGTGGAGTGGTGCTGGATGGCACCCAAAGATGTTGTCTCTGTAACTTAGTGTATGTCATTATTGCCCTTTGCATCACCTCATTTCAGCCAGGAAGCACCCAGTTCTATGGTACCACTTCCCTTTCTACCGCCCAGGAAAAAAACATGATACATTTGCAGAGTGAGTGTGAAAACTGTAGCGTCCCACCTGCACCACTGCTTGCTCGCAGTTGCATTTCTTTGGTTCACCGCCCACTTGACACTCTGCCAAGTGCGTGGGGCGGGGATGGCAGCTTACGGTGTGTTGTTCATGCGACACCTTGAACCCATCCTGACACCCTACTAGCTTTCAACTGCTTTCATACAGGAAGTTTTGCCAAAACGGTCCTGCTTCCTGCATCACTTATTCTGAGTAACCAGACTCCAGAGAACTCAGGCCACGGCATACCCAGTATTTGAGGTGCCTCCATTTGAGTCAAAGCATACCCAGGCCCTTGCCCTGCCCCAACAGTCCCACTTGAGTGCTGCTCACCGCTGCTGCACCTCGTAACAATAGCCCCTGGCCTGCCAACAGGGGCGTTCACACCATCACTCGTGTTTGCCCACTGTCTGTCCCTTCCCTTGCCCCTGGTCAGCGTTCCTCCCCCCCTGTCCCTCCGTGTGCACGCGCACATACCCCACTGGCGGGCACCGCAGATACGTCACTGCCGCCTTGCTGTCTCCCAGGAACGCACGCGCCTGGGGGGACGGCAGGGCGATGGAGGGGGGTGTGGGAGGAGGGAAGGGAAGGAGAGACATAGGGAGCGAGGGAGGGTGGGAAGGAGGGGTGGAAGATTGAAGGAAGGTGAGAGGATAAGGAGGTGGGACAGGGATCGTGGTTGCGCGGACGACCAGGAAGCACAAGTCAGAGAAGCTGCAGCATGATGCAGCATGGCAATTTACAGCACCAGGCGGTGCACTGCCTCGTGCACGAAACACGAACCACAGAGCGTGAGGATTGCAACAGTCATCTGATCCACGGCATCACCTGATCAACGGCGTCACCTGATCAACCGCGTCACCTGATCAACGGCATCTTGAATGCTGTCTGCCATCTCCCATCGCAGAATGGCAGGCCCCCGTGGGTCCTGAGCGCCCACCACATACACCTTGCCCACCTGCATGGGGGAAGGGGTCAGGGGAGGAGAGAAGAGGAGCAGACGTCAAGAACGAGAGCCACGATGTCAGTAGGCGCAAAGGATGGAGCAGCACAGCACGGCCACAATACGCCACACAAGGAGCAGAACATCCCATCCCATGGTACGGCCACGTGCAGGCACCAAGCTCCATGCCCCATGCGCCACGCCCGTCGCACCTTGTCCATGCCATGAGCCGCCCATGTGTACATGTAGAAGCCATGCACGGCAGCGGGCCCCAGGCCGTGGCGGTAGACGTCGTTGAGCGCCTGGTCGTCCACGAAGCGCTGCTGAAAGCGCTCAAAGTCGTCCAGCCCCGGCGCCACCGCCAGCACGTCCTCAAACAGCCGGCGGTACGCATCGTGCGCTGGGGACGACCACTCGTAGTGCATGTCATTCACCACCACCTGCACACAGGGGGGGCGTGGCGTAGTGTGGTATGGTATGGGGTGGTATGGATGCATGCAGGGGCAAGGAGGGTGTAGGGAGAGGAGAGCAGGGCGAGCCGTGCATGGGTGCAGAGAGGATGGGTGGACTGTGGATGTTGGGAGTGAGTTCAATCCAGTATGCATGGCATGGCAGGCGATTGCATGTTGCTGAAATTAATTGTGCTTTCGATGGCATGATATGGGATGACATGGCAAGGCATGGCATGGCATGGCATGGCATGGTCTCTCACCACACAACCGCCCTCCTTGAGAAGAGGCACGCCATCCACATACCTGGAAGGGGTTGGGGGAGAGGGAAGGGAGAAGGAAGGGGAGAGATTCATTTGAGACAGCCAGCCTGCGGTTGGCATGCCCTGCCATCCCATGCCCTGCCATCCCATGCCCTGCCATCCCATGCAAGACCTGTCCACACACATTGTGCATAACACGTACTACAGGTGAAACATCCCAAGCACACAAACAGCAACGATCTATGAACCCCCTGCCGCATCCACTAGCAACATCTGCACCTTTGCATGCCAAGACGCTACAGACGCGAAGAATGAGGGTTGAGAATGTGAGAGGGCGATGTGGCTCACATGTTGTAGTAGTAGCCCAGCGAGTACGTGTTCACCTGCACACACATGGGCCGGGGGGGCACTTAGATTGCGGAAAGACAGAAGAGCAGGGACGGGGAGGGATGATGCGCGCGCCCCATGGCATGGCATCCAAATGGAAAGGACGAGCGTGGCATGTGCACGCATGGCATGGGAAGCGCGTGCTGAATGACTTGCCCCGTCACACGGGAACATGTGTGTGTGCAGTGCTCCATGCATCGATGGCACGGAGGGGCGTTCGGGAGGCTCTAGGATGGAATGAAGGGACGCTAGAGAGGCTCCACGCAGGGCACAGCAGAGCACCAATAGAGCAAGACGTTTGCCAAGACTCAAAGGAATACAGGCGTACGCACGAGCAGGGGGTTGAGGTACATGTCCTTGGTGTAGGGCCCCAGCGCGCTGGGCGCCAGGATGAGAATGTCCGCCTGGGGGCAGCAAGACAAGACGGAGGCGGGGGGAGGTGGGAGGCGTGGAGGAAGGATGGGTGCGGTGGCGGGAAGATGGCAAGGTCCAGGTGCTGCTTCACCAGTCTAGCACTTTGTTTAAATGGCGAACAAAGCAATGCCATTCACAAAACGAAGCCCCTCAGCCCCATTTCCCCCTCCCCCCCCCCTCTTGCTGACCTGTCCGTGCACGTCCATGACCTTGTCGCGGTAGATGGCCGCCAGTGTCCTCTCATGCACCGCCTGTGTCTCCCCCGCTGTCACCTGCGCCGCATGGCAGCACAGCAATGACACCACCATCACATGCTCTCATAGTTTCGCTTGTGAAAAGTCTCAAATATCTGATGCGGTGCTCATGTAAATGCACGGCTGGACTGCAACAAAAGCTTGCTGGAGTGTTCACCATTCAGCAGACTCTGCTTCACATAAACAGCCATGCAACCACATCCCCCCCTTCCCCCTTCTTCCCCCCCCCCCCACCTGCAGCAGGCCGAAGGGTCCGCGCATGAACCAGAGCAGCTTCACGCACAGCCACAGGGGGAGCAGCTGGCGGTGCACAGCGAGGGGGAGAGACGGGGGGGAGAAAGGGGGGTGAGGAAACAAGGAGACACAGGCCCACGAAAAGCAAGCTTGCTCCCACTCTCAACTTCCTGTTCCTTGCCCCTGTTCTAACCTTTCCCTCCCTCGCACCTTGCCCTCCCTCCCAGATTGCCCTCCCTCGCACCTTGCCCTCCCTCGCACCTTGCCCTCCCTCGCACCTTGCCCTCCCTCGCACCTTCCCCCCCCCCCCTCCTTCCCCAACACCTTGAGCAGCAGCAGCGTCGAGTGCATGAAGAGCTTCTGCAGCGGGTTCATGTTGCGCACCAGCTCCAGCACGAAGTCCGAGTACCACGGGAACAGCTGCGCGGGTGGGGGGAGGAGGGGGGGACGTGTGAGGAAGAGGTTGAGCGAGGAGGGGGGAGGTGGGAGGTGGCAGCAGACGTGAAGGAATGGTAGAGGTGAATGCAGAGGGAGTGACCAAGTGACAGGTCAGATGATGACACGATGGCAGCAGAGAGAGTGCATGGGTGGGAAGTAGGTCAAGTACAGGGACCCAGGCAGGCACAAGGACATGATGCACGGAACTGGGTAGATGGTGCAGGCAGTGAGAAATGGAGCAAGCACAGACGTGTCGGCAGGCATGCATGCATGCGGGCAGGTCGGCAGGCAGGCGGGCAGGGTTGCAGGCGGGCGGGCGGGCGGGCGCTGACCTGGTCGTCGATGACGGTTTCGACGTGGAAGACGTCAGTGTGCTTCTGCATCATGCGCCCGATGCGGTGGAACGACTGGTGCAGCGCAGAGCGCGTCGGGTCAAACAGCGACCTGCCACCACCACGCGCATGCGGCACACAGCACAGAGCACGGAGCACACCGCACACAGCAACCGGGCTTTGAGACAACTCCACCCAACCCCCCAATCCAACCCAACCCAACACCACCAGTGATCATTCCCGTCTCAAGGCACAAGGCACGTGAGAACTTTTAACAGCAATCTAAGAAAAGAACACAAAGAAAACCGGGTTTCGGGTTGTTGTTGTTTGGTTCCGCTGACATGGATTGCCATGCCATCAATACGGATCCCTCGCCCTCCCTCTCACGCCATGCCTGGTGTTGCGCAGTGTCTTGGAGTCGTGGTTGTGCTGCAGACAGTTGTAATGCACCTGCATTTGCACACACACAAACAGGTGGCCACATCTTTGCCCACAAGGGGATAACCGAGCAGAAACACATGGTGCCACTAGCATTCCCCCTCTCCCCTCCCCCCCCCCCCCCCCCTTTCCTCACCAGCCCAGTGGCATACGACTTGTACCCGCCGTCCATGCTGACATAATTCACATTCGCATACACCACCAGATCCGCCTCCGCAAAGTGCCGGTTGATCTGCCATGGCATGGCATGCCACGCAATGCCACGCCACAGACAGGGATGGGGGGGGGTAAGAACGAAGTGCTACAGGAGTGGGCGCCACAGCAAGTGGCATGGAAATAAGAGCAGGAAACTCTCATCACAGCAAACTGACACTTAGCCCTACCCTCGCTCTCCTCACTCCACATCTCCCATCCCCTCCCCCCTTCTCCTCTCCCCCGTCACCTGCACGGCCTCGCCATGCCGTGTGACGCCAATGGACACCGTCTCATCCATGTCCACCGCATTGTAGTTGCCCATGCGGTGCGGGTGGTACTTCCCAAACAGGTAGTCCCCGCAGATGTGCTTGAACTCGTCCGGGCGGATGTAGCGGTGCAGCGCGATGGAGCACACGAACCGGATGTCCGTGATGCCGACAGCCATGCAGTCCCGCTCCGCCTCCTCCATGATCAGTTGTCTCACGTCCGGCCGCCGCATGGGCGGCAGGGGCACGCTCACGTCGTCAAAGGCAATTAGGATCTAGGGGGGGGGGGAGGGGGTTGGGTTGGGACGGCGTGTGGGGCATGGTGCGTGGTGTGTGGTGCAAGGGCGACACGAGCACAAGAGCAGGGCGGAAGGGGGGCGCAAAAAATGATTGGGAGAAGTGGATGCAAGGGGACAAGGGGAGAGGGGGTGGAAGACGGAAGAGAGAAGCATGCTACAAGTTGCAATAACATTGGCGATGGAAGAAGATGAGGAAACTAGCAGCAGCAGCGCACCTTGGGGTTGGGGTTGGCCTCTTTGATTTGTTTCAGTCGTTCTTTCAGCGGTGGCCGCCCTACAGGGTTGTCCAGGGCATGCCGTATCATGTCTCGCATCTGCGCGTGGGAATGCATGTTCATGCGAATGTGCGCTCGTGCGTGCGTGGGTGTGACGGTAAGGAAAAGACAAGGCATGCCGAGGAGCAAAGGCGGATTCGAGATGGGAGGAGGGCATGCAGCTGGGAGCGAGGGAGAAGCGTTGTGGCCTGACAGGCACACAGGCAGGGCAGGTGAGGACGGGATTAGGGGAGGGATGGGTGGATGACACATGGTGCGTGCGCGTGTGCATGTAAGGGACGGCGTGAAGAGGGGAGCACTGGCCTTGCGGGGGTTGTTCTGGCCGTCCCTGCACAGCCCCGGGTACAGCACTCTCGTGCCCTCGGGCACCTCCAGCAGCGCCATGCGCTCGCCCGCTTGGAACAGAAACTTCTCACCCTGCCGTGCCGTGCCATGCCGTGCCATGCCGTGCCATGCCATGCCGTGCCATGCCGTGCCATGCCGTGCCATGCCATGCCGTGCCATGCCGTGCCATGCCGTGCCATGCCGTGCCGTGCCATGCCGTGCCATGCCGTGCCATGCCGTGCCATGCCATGCCATGCCATGCCATGCCATGCCATGCCATGCCATGCCATGCCATGCCATGCCATGCCATGCCATGCCATGCCATGCCATGCCATGCCATGCCATGCCGTGGACACAACAAGGGAATGGACGGCATTCAGCGGCACAACACTGTGCTCGTGGTGACAGAGACGCAAGCAGGTGGCACGGAGGCAGCAGTGGGCGCGCGTTGAGAGAGCTGAGCACGAGCACCCATCAGCGAGGACGGCGCATAAGAATCAGCGCAGCCGTGCATTCGCCGTCTCCTCTCCTGCCCTTCACCTCACCGCTCCCCCTCGCCACCCCACCCCCTCCTTTCCCCCCCTCACCCCCTCACCCCCTCACCCCCTCCCCCCCTCCCCCCCCCAGGCCCATAGCGCACCTTTTTGGAGTACAACACCTGCCGAGGCCGCTTGTGCGTCCCCGCAGTGTCCACCCAATCAGCCGGCGCCGCGTCACCGCTCTCTGCAGCATGGCACACGACTCTCATCCGTCGATCCGCCTGCCCGCCCCTCCATGCCGCCCGCGAGCACCCGGGCGCAGTGGAATGCTCCCCGCGGGGTGGACGATGTGCGCGCTGACAAGGCGCGGGGAGGCGCCTGGCGGAGGCCATGCGGAGGGATGGGCGCAGGCATGGGATGACAGAGGAGTGGGCCTCCAAAGGAGGGGGGTCGTGCGGGGATCATGCACGAGCGAGAGAGCGCAAGCAGAGGGCTCTATGAGCAGAGTGTACCCACCTAAATGATGTAGCAAGATGACGTGGCAAGAACGACGTGGCAAGTTCCGCAGATCTCGAGGACCGCAGACGCCGCAACCGAAGAGGGGCTTGCAGCCACGTCAGCTCGCTCGATCCCAGATCAACACGCAACGCCGTGGAAGCGTGAATTGCGGCCGGTGGGGCAAGCCCCATGCTAGGCCAGATTCGGGTGTTGGATCTAGGAAACAGCTGTCGCGGGGAAGAGCGGGCGAGCTGCGCGGATCACCGAGACAACGCGGCAGGCGGACGCTCGTGGCGAAGCCTCAGGGAAAGGGAGACGAGAACGAGCGCAGCGCGCGGAGCAATGTGGGTGGCTGTGGCACCAATGCTGGTCGACGAGTTGGTGGGAGAGAGGGGATCAGAAAGATCCGATGAAGGGTATGGTGTGGATTATGGAATCGCAACAAGAGGCAGTGAAATGGCGGCTGAGGGGGAAGGGAAGGCGCGGAGGAATATACTGCTGAACATGCATCATCTGGGGAAGGTTGCCGACGTGTAAGGTTCGCACTTTCCTGAGATAATTTCGCCCTTTGATAAGATTGTTGCGCTTTTTCTGCCGACTACAATGTTACACGAAACACAATGTGTTATGAATGAACAAGCAGAGTAGCGCGGAAATGAATAACGAAGTGTTCACTCAATGAATGACGATACAAGGAATGGCAAGCCAAGATATAGGAACACCAGAGCTAGTCTAACCATGCGATGGGAAGGTTCGGGAAGGAGATCGAAGGGTCTCGAAGTAACGAAGCGAGGCCTGGAGAACTCCCGAAGGTCGAACCGGAAGGTCTGGAAAAGCCGAGGCGGTTCTGTCAGAAGGTCTGGAACAGTCCTGAGGCTTCAGGTGTGTTCGAGCGTACGCGATAGCAGTACCGCTCGGTAAGGAATGGAAAATTCCTTACACCAGCCCCCCCCTTAGCGAAGGTGATCTATATCAGCCACGTGCTTGCGGTCCAAATAATTCGCAAGTATCGAATGTGACTGTATCTAGTCTGAGGGCACCCACGTGTCGTCCTCACTGGTACGATTGGTCCATCGTATCAGAAAGTCAACGTGTCGTCCTTGACCGTTGATACGAATCCGATGGCTCAAGATCTTCGAGGGCTCGATTGTCGTTTCGGCTGGTGGCCGTACATCTGGAACCAATCGCTGTCGAGCGATGTCCGACGTGTCAGGAACGAAGGGTCGCAACAGACTCACGTGGAATTTGTTGTGAATTCGCCAGTCATCAGGTAGGCGTAATTGGGCGGTCACCGGCGTCACCATCTTCACGATCTTGAAGGGGCCACAGAAGCGTGGTCGCAATTTTGTCGGTAGTGGCAGTCGCAAATTCTTGGTGTCCAAAAGGACTAGTTGCCCCGCTGTCATCGTAATATCCCGGCGATGTAAATCCGTATACCGTCGGGCAGTTGCGTTCGCCTTGCGAATAAGTTCGACAGCTTTGTCTCGGGCAGTCTGCAATTCTTCGACGAACTGCTGCGATCGTGGTACTTGACTCTCAACATTGGTGGAGATCGGAACTGTAGGGTCCATCCCGTAATTGAGGTAAAACGGGGAGTGATTAGTCGTAGATGAGGGCGTGTTATTGTAGGAAAATTCCAACATGGGCAGCACGTCCTCCCATTTTTTCCGGTCGGGGCAGTTTGTCCGAATCAGCTGCTCCATCGTTTGATTTGTCCTTTCCGTCTGGCCGTCCGTTTGTGGATGATACGCGGATGAGAACTGTAGACGCGTGCCGTACCGAGCCCACGTGTCCTGCCAGAATTTGGACGTGAACTTCGGATCTCGATCGCTAATGATTGCTGCTGGTATCCCGTGTAGGCGAACGACGGTCGAGATGAACAGGCGCGCTGTTTCTTCGGCTGTGATGGTTGTACGACATGGTGCGAAATGCGCCATTTTCGTCAATCGGTCGACGACAACCAAAACCGCGTCGTTTCCGCTGGGTCCAGCCGGTAGTCCCGTAACGAAATCCATCGTTACGTGTTGCCATGGCCGTTGATGTGGCTCGAGGGGCTGCAACAGTCCTGTGGGCCGCTGGTGTGACGACTTCATTCGCTGGCAGATCGGACACGCGGCCACGTAACGCTGCACGTCCGTCACCATATCTGGCCAGTAATAAAACCGCTGCAACGCCTTCAGAGTTTTATCAACCCCAAAATGTCCCGATAAATTCGAATCGTGGACTTCTTGAATTAGTAATTCGCGAAGTAGACGATAACTTGGGACCCAAATTCGATCAGTCCCGCTTCGTAAGTAATAGACGCCTTTCTGCGTAGTCATTGGGAGATGGCCGTCGTTTACGAAGAAGGGGTCAGTCGAATACCCGTGGGTAAATAGTCCACTCAGTAGCGGGTTGCTCTGGGCGACTAGTACTGCTGCGAGTTGGGCAGATGGTCTGGAAAGGGCATCGGCAATATTGTTGGCGCCCTTTTTGTACGTGAAATTCGACTCTAGATAGTCCAGCCAGCGTATCTGCCGCGGGTTGAGATTCGGCTGCGCCCGCAGATACTGTAGTGATTTGTGATCGGTTCGCACCGTCACGTCTGCTCCAGTCAGGTAGCACCTCCAGATTTTGAACGCGTGGACGATCGCCAACATCTCCTTGTCGTGTACCGGGTAGTTGCGCTTAGCAGATTGCATTTTCCGAGACTCGTACGCGATTGGTTGAAGCCCGTTGCCGAAATCCTGCATGAGCACTGCTCCGATGGCGATGTCACTTGCGTCGGTGATGACTTCGAAGGGCCGTTCCGGGTCAGCGATGCGAAGTACCGGTGGCGACATTAAAAGATGTTTTAATGCCTCGAACGCAGCTTGCTGCTTCTCCCCCCACTCGTAAAAAGTCCCTTTCTGCAGTAGGTCGGTTAGAGGTCCAGTTAACCTCGCCATGTTGGGTATAAACCTCCGTACGTAATTCACGAAACCCAGAAATGATTGCAGCTGCTGCAGATTTGTCGGCGGTTTCCACTCCTGAATAGCCCAGAGTTTTTTCGGGTCTATTCGAATCCCCTCCGTGGAGATCACGTGCCCCAGGAACTCCAGTTCTTGTTTTAAAAACTCGCACTTGGAGCCCTTGGTGATGAGTCGTTGCTGCTGCAACCGCTGAAAAACTGCTTCCAAATCTTTTAAATGCTGCTCCCGGGTCTTGCTGTAGATCAGGATGTCGTCCAGGTAAATTATTACGCATTTGTCGAGTAGATCGCGGAATACCCCATTCATGGTGAGTTGAAACGTCGAGGGGGCGTTCGTTAATCCAAACGGCATCACCGTGTATTCGTAACTCCCATAGCTTGTACGAAACGCGGTCTTGTGGCAGTCGTCAACGAACACTCGAATTTGATGGTAACCGCCACGAAGGTCGATCTTCGAAAAGTAGCGAGCTCCGCGAAGGTTGTCGATCAGTTCGTCCGTTCGTGGGATTGGGTAGCGCGATTTAATCGTTACCCGATTAAGGGCACGATAATCGGTACACATGCGAAGGCGGCCGTCCTTTTTTGGCGTGAACAGGATCGGTGCTGCGAACGGTGACGTGCTTGGCCGAATGAACCCTTTTGCCAGCAGGTAGTCCAACTGGTTTCGTAACTCCTGTAGCTCTGGCTGAGTCATGCGCCATTGCGTGCGTACAGTAGGCTGCGCGCCGGGCTCCAGCTCGATTTTGTGGTCCTGGGGTCGTTCGGGTGGCAGTCCACTTGGCAAGTCGTCCGGGAAGATCTCAGGATATTCTCGAATGATTTTCGCCAAGTCATCCGGGACCGAGGCGCAGAGTTTGTTGATGTCGGTCGCCTCATTCTGCTCCGTCAATTCGGTTAGATGGACGGCGTATAAATCCGCTCCATTCTTGACCGCTCGGTTGAGGCACACCGCGTTGACTCGTGTCGATGTCGTCTCTGCTTCCGGCCACGTGGGTAATTTTCGCCAACCCTTGTCGCACTCACTGTGCACTTGCCTGTTGTCCAATCGATCTGCGGGTTGAATCTTCGCAGCCAATCGCGTCCCAAGAGCACGTCGTAGCCGTCGAGCGTTGTCGCCAGCATCGGCGCGCTAAAACCAAAATCTTCGCCACACTTCATTCGAACGACAGGTACTTTGTCGCGTATCGCCAGCGGGGTGCCATCCACCAATCGCGCGTCGATTTCGGGTAGACACCGCTCCAGCGTCAGGTGTAGTCGTCGTGCTGTCTCTCGATTTATCAGGCTGTGACTCGCACCTCCGTCGATGAATATTTTTATTTTTCTTCCATGAAGTCGTCCTTCCGCCAGTACAGGGTGGTCCACTGGGTCATCCTCCCTTTTCAGCCGGGAGCGGTTGATAGCATGTATCGGAACCACTACTCGGTGGGGATGTTGTTTTTCGGGCGATGAGGCAGGGTCAGTAGGGGGCCCGACCGCTACTGACGCTTGGCGTTTCCCGACCTGTCCTCGTCGTTCTTCTTTATCTGCTTCTTTCGGGGGCAATCGTGAGATTGGTGACCCGGCAGGTGGCAGTTGAAACATTGTCCCTTGCGAAAATCGTCTATGTGCTCCTTCGCCACTACGCCGTGAATCGTGGGCCGTGGATTCTGGCCACGAAAACGATTTCCCTCCCGGGAACCCGCTCTCGCATACGTCCGATGTGCGTCGAAGTTGTCTGCGATCCGAACGGCTTCGTGAAACGTCGCCGGCAGTCGCAGTCGGACCTCGCATTTAATGTCCTGCTTCAAACCCGAAATGAATCGAGCTTTCTTCTCGGAGTCATGCATGTCGGTGATTTGATCGCATAACGCCATGAAGACCGACGCGTAATCCTGGACAGAACTCCACTGGCGCCAGTTGTCCAGCTTCGTGCGTGCGTTGTCCGAGGCGGATATGGGCTCGAAACGTTCATGCAGAGCTGTACCCCACGCCTTCCACGTGCGAATCTTGGTCGATCCGAAAATCGCGGTTGACCCTTGGACAGCAGACCCAAAGTTTCCGAAAAACCCCTGTGTGTCGCCTGCCGAAAACTCCCCCTCCTGTAGAGTATATCGCCACCAATCTAGCGCAGGTCCTCGCAGTAGTGATACAGCCAATCGAATTTTTAACTCGTCAGCAGTGATCCCAGCGGCATTAAAATAAAGTTCCGCCGAAAATAACCAGCCCGTAACAGTAGTATTCTTATGTGTGGGGTTGAACGGGGGCGGCATTGTCGGTTTGATCGTCGCTGTCATCACGATCGGCATAAACGCCGGTGTGGCTACAGTAGCGGCTGCTTCCGACCGAGCGGCTGCTGCTGTCGCTGCTGCTTCGGCTGCTGCGGCGGCTTCACTGTCCTTGCGCTCCTGTGACACCTGACGTGCGATTTCGTCCAAGACGGTTTCGACATGTCCGGTGCTGGCGACCTCCTCTTGGGCGGCAATTTTCTGACGCGAATCCTCTCGCGCCTGGCGTAACTCAGCAACTTCCGCACGAAGTCGCTCGTTGTCCTCCAGCACTGTAGCCATGCGCGTCTTTATGGCGTTGAACTGCTCCCGAAGCTCGTTGAACTGAGCTTGGTCCATTTGGCGAATGCTCCGCCGGGGCAGGGGGAATTCCGTCGTGTGCCTGTACTCAGGTAAGCGCAAACGCTATCGTAGTTGGGCGAATTAATCAATCTAATTCGCGAGCAACCGCTTTGCAGCTTACGTGAGGGACCTACCCCCCCCAAAAAAAAATCAACTCACGAAAACGGGTGAGCGAGGAAAGTGGCTCTGAATACAAGGTGTTATGAATGAACAAGCAGAGTAGCGCGGAAATGAATAACGAAGTGTTCACTCAATGAATGACGATACAAGGAATGGCAAGCAGGGCTGACGTTTAAAAAAAAACCACCCTGAGCTGTCGAATGGGGAAATTTTTTTACCCTGAGGGCCTAGTGTTGGTATTTTGACTTCCCTGATTTCTCAGTATTCTGGAACTTACAACCCTGAAACCTCCAGGGTTGGCTTGCAACAATCAGGGTTGCATTGTACTTGGGAAAAAATCAACTAGGAATGTACAGCTACTAGTTAAGTAAAAGCACCACTACGCCACGCCAGTCTACAAGTCCTCTATCTAGTCTAGACTTCACAATATTCCATGCCACTAGCTACACTTGACTAAAATTCTGGGCCATCCATGTTCACTTCGTCTTCTTCGTCGTCATCGGACAGAAAGGGGTTGTCTTCCACTTCAGGAGCCTCTCCCCCCACTGCCCCCACTCCCCCCTCCTCCTCTCCCTCATCCTCTGCCCAATCCCCCATGTAGTCGGGGACTGCCTCCTCCTCCACCCTCACTTCTGCCCCCTCAATCGCCTTCGCCTTACGCTTCCTCTCCGCTGCGGCAAACAGAACAGACTTAGCAGGGCGCCTCAGCTTCTCGCGCCAGCACCCAAGGGCCTCGTCCCAGTCAGTCTCGTACTGCAGCAAGGAAATGACCATCAGCTCGCTGAGGCGCGCATTGCACAACGCGCCCCGCACCCATGACTTGATGACGTTCTGCCGCGAGAAGCCTCGTTCACACTCCACTGTGCTAAGCGGCAGGACAGCGCATGCCTGCCACAAGCACATGAGGTTGGGCCAGCGCCTGCCAGAAGGGTTGGGGGAATAGAGTACATGGAACAAGACCAGTGCATTAGCAATGCTTGTCAACAATCGATAAACAACAACTGATAAAGGAAACAATGAAACCGCCCAAAAGGAAAATCAATAATCGTCCTTCGAGCAGCACTCTCTCACAAGGTCGACTCCGTCGAGCCGAGGTAGTTCGTCAGGCCTTGATGGAATCCTTCGTCGGCATGGTGGCTCAGCATCAGTGGCGCCCACGTGACCAGCTCCTTCTGCGCAGCTTGCAAGGAAAAGCTTGTCAGCCTGTTGTCGAACAAGGCACTGCAGCCATGTAGGTACTCCTTCAGCTTCTTCTCTCTCTGCTGCTTCATCCGGGGCCACTTCGACACGCGGAAGAGCTTCGTCGGGCCGAGATTGTTCAGGTCCAGCATCCTCGTCTTCAGGAAGCTTATCGTGTCCTTCGCGAATTGCGCGCAGAGCCGCTCGCAATCGGGGTACTTGCTGCGGAAGGCATGCCCGTCGATCTGCTTCTCGTGCATGGTGTAGGTGTGCGTGACTGGGTTGCCGTCCTTGTCGATGCCCCGCACCTTTACGCGTTTGCCCCCTCCGCGCCCGTAGACCGCCAAGAAAGCCGAAAGCCACGTGCCTTCGACACCCCCGCCGAACACCTCTCCGCACTCCAAGTAGCGGTGGCGGAGGTCCCCTGTCGCCTCGTCGATGTCCTTCGTCACTTCGGTGACATCGACCTGGTGGATGTGACAGACAACGGAGTGGAGTCAGAGGGTGATTCCAAACGTGCATGCATGGGACAAAAATTACATGCTGGGTGATAGAAGCTCACCTCCCTCTTCTGGAATTTGAGGTTGAGCTCATTCATCACTCCGAGGACGTCCGCCAGGAAAAAAAGACAAAACTGGAACTTGTAACAGATAACGACCTCATACAGCTCATGCCCGTACTCATAGAAGAGAATGATAGCGGCGCCGAGGACCTTACAAAGGCGCCTCACAGCCTCACCCCTTGAAAGCCAGCGCACGGTGTGAATTCCTTGCACTTCAAGGTTGGTGTTATGTATTGCCCGCTGCAGGTACTTGAAGCGTTGACTCCAGACACATGAACGTCCCAGAAGATCGGCCAGAGTCCGAATCACAAGGTCGACCATGTCGAAGTCTGGAGAAGCAGTGGCCGCGTCCTTCACCGCCAAGGCTTCCCTGCATGGTGCACACAAGGGAATTTTAGTCAAGCACTTGTAGGAAACCTAAGCGACTGAAATGACAAGCGGTTAAACCTGTGGGCGATGCAGTGCGAAGAGACGAGATGGGGGATGTGCTCGCGAAGTCGGGCGACGAGACCGTTGTCTCGGCCGACCATGACAGAGGCGCCGTCGGTGCTCATGCCGGTGATTCGGGAGAGATCGATGCCAGTTGCTCGCAAGTGAGCCAGAAGAACGGCGAGGAGTGACGCGGCGTCGCACTTTTCGACGGTCAAGAGTGCAAAAAACTCAGTCACAACACGATGCGCCCGCAAGAAGGTCAGATAAACAATCAGATGTTTACCGCGAGTACGGTCAGTGCTCTCGTCGCAGCTGATGCCGAGGTAGGGTGAGGCGAGAATGTATTGCATTTGTCGGCGCTGCAGGTAGGTTGCCAGGCTGCTGACGAGCTAACAGAAGCCATACCTGTAGTAGCAGAAGTGACAACAAGGTGTTGGTTAGACCTTTTTGAAAAAAAAAGGACATGGTGTACTTCGAATAAGTGCATTACCTTGTCAGGTAGACTCCGTAAGACTGCAGCGGAATGTCCGGTGTCTCCTGCTCGGCCATGAAGCGGAGTAGCCTCGGGTACATGCTGATGGGTGCATCACACTTGCACAGGAAGTCGACGCAGCGTAGGAGCCTCATGACGCGCTTCCCTTCGATGTCAATCCGCGCGTAATTCTCCATGCGCCTCTGGGTGCTGGCGATCTCTTCGGCGATCTCCATCTGACGCTTGACGGCTACTTCGTGGGCTGTCGTGTGTTCGTGGAACCGCATCGCTTGCGTCTGCAGGTCACGTGCCCCGTCGCGGCTGTTGGAGTACGGTGTTGTCTCTTTGCCGAAAGCCTTGCACACACTGCACTTCAAAGCAGGGTAACCATCTTTCGTTTTCGTTAGCAGAAGCCAAGGGAAAAAAGGAAGCCAGCTGGTCTTATACTTGTGCTCAGCCATGAGATACTTCTGCTCGATGAGTTCCTTCTTTGAGAGCTTCGGCGGCTCGGGTTCTGGAATACCAGGGGCCTGAGGTTCAGGCGACGAGCGAGGCAGCGACGGTCTATGTAGCTTCCCGCCGAGGACTATCGTGCTCTGGGTGTACTTCCCGACGCGTGCTTTCTTCCCAGATGAAATCGTCGACGCACACTCGACCGTGTAACGCACGGTCGTGGCTGTCTCGCAGTCTGGAACCAAAGGGCCCTGGCTAGATGAAGCGACAGCGGGCGGAGGTACATATGGAGCGGCGGGAGTAGATACGGGTTGTGATGGTGTAAGGACTGCGGTGGGAGACCGCAAGATGTCTAGCGCGGATCTACGGACCTCCACGGAGGGGTCCCTACCTAGTTCAGAACTATCGTCGGCAGTGGGAGACTCACCAGAGTCTCCTACATCCGCCATGGCTAGAAGCGGCGGATATGCTGAAAATGAGAAATCGGCGCGACGAAACTAGAGGAGATTGAAGACTGGAGCATCTCGCAGCTGTGACGTGAAGAAATGAAAAAAACTGGGTTGGAGGAGGAGCTGGTGAAGAAGACGGGAAGAGGACCAAGAAGCCCCATCTCTCGATTTTCATGGATGGTGCATAACCCATCCAGGTTCCCGTATCGCCATGGCGATACCGTCAACGGCGAAACGCACCTGCGCTGGCATCGTCTGCACAGAGATGATTGGCGGGGTGATGTCATACAGAGGCTGACATTGCCGCGCTCATCATATTCTGTCCTCGTCTGCTGCGTGCTGAGTCACGAATGCCAGTTGACGGTTGCAAATGTTGCTGTAATGGCAGCATACAGCGTGTATACGGCGGGAATCTTGCCGAGTGCAGATTCCCCACGTGACGCATGCTGGGCGTGTTCAATGGACTGGGCCCCGTCACGCGTAAGGGGGCCATTTCGAGGAAATTCAGGGTCCGCATGGATGTCGCATTCAGGGTTCGTACGCGTTACTCCCTGAAAACTCAGTGTTGGTATAACACAAACCCTGAAATTTTAAGTGTTCACAGACATACGACCCTGAAGAGGTTAGGGTTCAAAAAAACCCAACCCTGAAAATTAAGGGTTGGCAAAAAAAATACCCTGTGAAATCAGGGAATCAGGGTAAAATACCCTGATAACGATAGGCCTCATGGCAAGCCAAGATATAGGTCTTAGAAACTTAGGACTCAAGGTTCTTAAACTTAGGAGGCTAGGTTGGCTAGGATACTAGGAAGAAGGCCGCCATGGAATAGCGTGAGGAAAACGGATCTAGGAAGGGAGAGAATGTTGAGAAGAAAAAGGGGTTTGATTAGGAAGAGAGAGGAGTACAAGAAGGGGTTTGTACCCTCTACAGAAAGGTTCAGTAACAACCTATCAAGCCTATATTAAATTATAACTTATATAATTTTAACACACCCCCTAGGCTTGGTAGTGTCAAGCCCACACACACCCCCACACCCACACCCACACCCACACCCCCTAGCCCAGCACCCCCATTCCCAGCAGGAGCCGCAACGACTCCGGAAGAGGGTAGGTCTCACGGCCCCTTGAGACGGCAATGGCGACAGCAGCGACAGTGACGACGGCGGCGGCGGCGGCGGTGTGCGGCGGCTCCAGGCCTGCGGCAACAGCGGCGGCGCCGGCGGCTCGAACGACAGAGGCTGGTGCGGCGGCCCCCGCCCTCTCGGCGGCATGTCCTGTCTCCTCGGCGGTGGAGAGGTCCCTCACATGGCAGTCATCGGCTGCAGCAAGAAAGGGGGGGATGCAGGGGAAGCAGGTGCAGGTGGGGGGGGGAGGGGAGGGGGCGGGGCGAGGCGAGTCTTCAGCGACGCGCCATAAATGGCGCGGCGCTTACTGGCGGGAGGACGTCGTCCTGAGGGACGCCCGTCTGTGGCGAGCGGGCGGCAGGCCCGGCGACGCCACAGACGTCGCTCGGCCGGCCGCAGCCCGACGATGCCGTCGGCTGCCGCAGACGCCGCCACATCGCACTGTCAATGTCGCAGCGGCGAGGCGGACCGGCTCCTTGTGTTAAAATTATATAAGTTATAATTTAATATAGGCTTGGTAGGTTGTTACTGAACCTTTCTGTAGGGGGTACAAACCCCTCCTTGTACTCCCCTCTCTTCCTAATCCAACCACCTTTCTTCTCGACATCCTCTCACCTCCTAGATCCGTTTTTCCTCACGCCATTCCATGGCGGTCTTCTTCCTAGTATCCTAGCCAACCTAGCCTCCTAAGTTTAAGAACCTTTAGTCCTAAGTTTCTAAGATGGTATCAGAGCAGGAGATCCTTCCTGCTGGACTGCCTCCTCTCGCTTCCGCCATTTACTCCTCACCCTCATTCACTCCAGCGGCCATGGCGGCCGCGTTTTGCTGCAGTGGCGACATCGCGCTGCCACTGGGCGCGTCGTGCCGCGACCGGCCCGACGCGCTGCCGTGGAGTCGGGCCATCGTTCTGCAGTCGCAGCGTCGACGCCCCGCTGCGGCATCGACGCTGCCATGGCGGCCGCGGCGGCGTCACGCTGTGGCGCCGTCGTCTTTTCGCCGGCTGCGCCGTCCTGCCGCGGCCGTCTCGACACGCGACCGGGACGACGTCAGTGCGACGCCGCGGCTGCGCCCCTCCTGGGCCTCGTCGCGCCCTGCCTGGCCTCGTCGCACCCGCTCGGCCCCGTCGCGCCCTGCCTGGCCCCGTCGCCCCCTGCCCGGCCCCGTCGCCCCCTGCCAGGACGCCGTCGTCCCGCCTGTAAGCGCCGCGCCATTTATGGCGCGACGCTGAAGACTCGCCCCGCCCCCCCCCCCCCCCATTCTCCCTTCCCCCTGCGTCTTCCCTTCCTCCTGTCGCAGCTGCTGTCTTCTGCCCGGACGTTGCCACATCGCCGAGAGTCCTCAGCCGCGGCAGTCGCCGCCTGTCGTCGGCGACCCAGCCGCCTTGAGCCAGAGCTCCGCGGCTGCTTGTCGCTGACCCGCCTAGACGCCGTCGGCTGCCTCGTGTACGGGGGTGTGTCAACGCTTTGCCTGAGGGTCAGATACCCGGCTAAGCACGAGCTTGAGGGTGTGCGGGGTTAGGGGGTGGGTTGGGTGCGGGTGTGGGGGTGTGAGTGGGCTTGACACTACCAAGCCTAGGGGGTGTGTTAAAATTATATAAGTTATAATTTTATATAGGCTTGGTAGGTTGCTACTGAACCTTTCTGTAGGGGGTACAAACCCCTCCTTGTACTCCCTTCTCTTCCTAATCCAACACTCTTTCTTCTCGACTTTCCTCCTACTCCTAGATCCGTTTTTCCTAGCGCCATTCCATGGCGGCCTTGCTCCTATCCTAGCTAAGCTAGTGTCCTAACTTTAGGGACCTAGCATCCTAAGTTCTTAACATGGTATCAGAGCAGTTCGTTCCGCGTGGGCCTGCTCCTCGCGTTTCCGCTGCGTGCTCGTTTCTCTCTCTATCTCGCGCTGCCATGGCGGCCGCGTCAAGCTGCTGTGGCCGCGTCGTCGTGCCGCGGCGCCGCCGTCGACGTCCATGGCGCCCGCGTCCAGCTGCTGTGGCCGCGCCGTCGTGCCGCAGCTCCGCCGTCGCGTCAAGGTGCTGTCGCGACGTGACGGCGCCGTCACGCTGCCGCGGCGTCTACGCGACAGCGCGCGGTCGGCGTAACGGCGACGTCGTGTTGCCGTCGCAACGTCGACGCCCCGCTGCGGCATCGACGCCGCTCCATGACGGCGTCGTCGGGCTGCAGCCGGCCGCGTGACGCTTGTGGCGCCGCTAGACCGGCCGCCCGCATGTCAGCCTGTGGCGCCCCCCCCCCCCACCCCCCTCCTTCCCTTGTGCCCTCTTCCATTCCGCAGACGACGGCTGACTCCCGCCGGCCGTCCCACCGTCGCGGGGCCTGGCCACGTCGCCGAGAGGTGCGGGTGCCGCCGCCGCTGCCGCTGTTGTCGAAGCCGCCGCCGCCGCCGCTGTCGCCGCTTGCGTCGGGGCCACGCAGCCGCACGCCGCCGCCGCTGCCGCTGTCGACACTGCCGCCGCTGCTGCCGTCGCCGCCGCAGCCCCTGCGGTCGACGTCGCCGCCTCACGCGCCGTGGGGTCGACCGCCCTAGAGTCGCTGTCACTGTGGCTGGAATGGGGGTGCTAGGTTAGGGGGTGTGGGTGTGTGTGGGCTTGACACTACCAAGCCTAGGGGGTGTGTTAAAATTATATAAGTTATAATTTAATATAGGCTTGGTAGGTTGTTACTGAACCTTTCTGTAGGGGGTACAAACCCCTCCTTGTACTCCCCTCTCTTCCTAATCCAACCACCTTTCTTCTCGACATCCTCTCACCTCCTAGATCCGTTTTTCCTCACGCCATTCCATGGCGGTCTTCTTCCTAGTATCCTAGCCAACCTAGCCTCCTAAGTTTAAGAACCTTTAGTCCTAAGTTTCTAAGACCTTGTTGCCTTTAACAATAGGAACACTAGAGCTAGTCTAACCATGCGATGGGAAGGTTCGGGAAGGAGATCGAAGGGTCTCGAAGTAACGAAGCGAGGCCTGGAGAACTCCCGAAGGTCGAACCGGAAGGTCTGGAAAAGCCGAGGCGGTTCTGTCAGAAGGTCTGGAACAGTCCCGAGGCTTCAGGTGTGTTCGAGCGTACGCGATAGCAGTACCGCTCGGTAAGGAATGGAAAATTCCTTACACAATGAATACACGTACGCACACAAATGATACACAACTCATTTCACAAGAGTCATGCCTTCACTATATTTGGTTCTGATGGCAGCTGGCCATCTTGTGGCACTTGCAACTCTATTTTCTCCATGTTATCAACACGCGTGTTGCAGCCGGGGCATCGGAAGGCGCGATGAAGAGACATGCGTGTGTGGATGCAGTAGTAGCAGAACACGTGGGCGCATGGCAGTGCACGGTATGGCATGAGGATGGGCTGTGCAGAGCAAACAGGGCAGCCATCGCCGGAACCAGAGGATGATGAAGTGGGGAGGCGGAAGAGGGAGGAGAATGTTTGCTTTATTGCGGAGACGCTGATCAAGGGGAGCACCAGCAGCAGCAGCTCCTGCAAAAACAGACGGGGCACAAAATAAGGATGTATCAGTCGCAAAACTTGGAAGGGAAGCTTAGGAAATGAGAAAGTTAGCAAGAAAAGAGAAACCAGGCAGGGATCCCTTTTGGGTGGAAGTGTAGGGTTGTGAGGGTGACTGACAGAGAACTCATTCCACACGAGTTGCCGGTTCATGTACTCAAAGCTGACAGCGCGCGCCATGTGCGGCTTCGCGTACACCGCCCTTATGCCCAGCAACCGCTCCGGCAGCGTGCGAAACCTACAGGCAGGCAGACACACACACAGACAGAGACAGATGGGACAGACAGACGGGCATACAGACAGGTAGGCAGGCAGGCAAGTGAGTGGGTGGAGAAGCGGTAGCAGAACACAAGTTGGAAACACAGAAATGCGATGCATAGGAAGAGTGTTGGGGCAGTAGCGGAAATGGAGGAGAAAGAGGGCGAGAGGAGCAAGGTGCAGGGAGATACTTGGCGGAATGAAGAAAGACGATGAGGTTGAGCAGAGACGCCAGTTTCACTACACCCTCTGCCCTGTGCAGCACACGCCACAGCCACTGGCGCCAGGACGACTGCATGCAACACATGGCACGGCACGGAGCAGCAGCACGACGACAGGCAGAGAAGAGTGAGAAAGAGGAAGCAGGGAATGCTGCACTGCAGAAAGGCAGCTCCATTCATCGAAGAAGTCGGTCAGACGCGAGGACCTGTTTAGCAGATGAAGCCACACACAGAGGGCAAGTGCGAATGAAGGAAAAGGGCCTAGCCGACCTGATGTCGTTGATTCGAGTCTGTCCCTGCGCCGTGCCTTCCATAGGTGTGCTGCGGCATGTGCGCTTGCATGGGCAGCAGCATGGGCGAGGAGTGCAGGCGCGCCCACGCGTACTTGAGCCCCCCCGTGAGCACCAGCCACAGCACCTTCTGCCCCACTGTCAGCCCTGGACCCTCCACGCCCGTCCGCACTGGCATGTGCAAGCGAAAAGGAGGGAGGTGGCAGGAGAGGTGACGTAAATCAGGGGGGAAGAAAAGGCCATGGGTGCACTAGGAACTGGCCAGGAAGGCAGTAGGTACAATACAAAGAAGGCCAACTACGTGGCAAGCAGACCCACCTGGCACAGCAGCATGTGAGGCTGCCCCTGCCCCGCGCTCGTCCCTGAACCTGAGGTTCATGAGTGCACAGCCGGGCAGAGGGCGATCGGCCCAGAGGGAGAAGCGCCACACGAGCACGTCCAGCAGCAGCTCCAGCTCCGCCTCACACCGCGACACCCACGCCGCCTGCTCCGCGCGATTAAGGGCCGGGAGTTGCGAGGGGGAGACGGGAAGAAAGGTCAAGGTTGGTGGGGGAAGGAGCACAGCGGCACGGAAGTGAGACTTGAGACGAGAGGGGAGGTGAGGGGGAAAGAAAGAGAATTCGAAGGAAGGTGGGTGGAGAGTAAGGACGGGAAGTTGAAGTACCGGCACGAGAGCAAAGACCCTCATGAGCTGCTCTTTCAGCATTAGCCGCATCTCGTCGTCCAGTCGCAGCGCATCCATCTGATTCACCCGCAGCACGTGTAAGCCACGTGCCACGTCCGTGCGCTGCAATTAGGGAGGGACACGGGAGCCGGATGGAAGCAAGCATCGTACGCGAAGCGGCATTCTGTCGGAGGGTGATGCGTGGAAAGAGCCAGTGGAGCTAGATAATAGCCTCCTGAGCGACAGAACGGAGGGCTGGCGCCGACACGGTGCGAAGATTGAAGGTCATTCGGAGGGGCTAACCTGCAGCTGCTGCTGAATGGACTCAAGCTCTCCCGCGTGGCGGGCGACCACCGAACTCCACGTGGCGCCATCAGGTAGTTCGGCAACCCCTTGGGGGTTGCGAAGAGGTGTAAAATCGGTAGATTGACATGGTGCGACCGTCGAACTCATCGAGCACAACACTTCAGGGATGAGGATAGGAGCTTGAGAGAGACTAGGTTGCACATGATCATTCGCACAACTAGAAAAGGAAGATGAATCCCTACCAACCCGCAGTGTTTACTGAGTCATACGAGCATGCTTTTGCAAATTGCTCTCTAGCGCGTCTCCTGATGCCTTTCGCTTCAGCCATTACCAGTACGGTGATAATGCCATTACAATGGATATTGTTGGAAAATTACCTCCTCCTCGGTTTCACAGTTTCCCGTGCTACAGTGGTAGCAATGTTTGATGAGGCAGTAGTTGGCATTTTTTATTGCATGCTTGACACTGCTTGCTAAATCTATGATAAATTTGGTACCAATTTTGCAAGAAGCTAAAGGATTGTAAATTTATAATACGCAAACAGGGAGGTGGCTTAAGAACTACAGACCTTGAAGTGAGTTTATGACACCTTTTTATCGAGGATATAACACCACAGCGGTGAGCTATTTCCGACGACACGCGTCATCGGTAGAGCCACGGATTGCACTCTCTTGCCCTGCTGTTCCTCCACACCAGAAGAGAAAATCTTTTCTGGAGCTTGTCGTCATGTGCTTACTGACGTGTCACTTCAGACTTGGCCCCAACGAGGTTGGTGGTGAAGCTCGGGCTACGTACGTGGTCGCATCTCCTGCATCAAGCAATGTCTAAGTTCCGTTCCTCCCGTCGATTTCCTGGTTTCCCCAAAGCCACTGGAGCCACGGCTTCATCCAATCATCGATCTCCATTGTTTCCCCAAAAGTTTGTGTTCCCAAGGCTCTTCCACGGCCACTGCCACCTTCCCCTTTCCCGCGGCACATCTTCCCAAGGCGCTGCCAGAGGCGTGCACTTTTTGATGCGGGCAGCGAAGGGTGGTGAGGTGTTCTTCGCCACTCGTTTCACCTCCTTGTCTTTGGGGCCAGCAGCGAGCCCCCTGAGGCAAGAGTGAGCGCGCAACCACATGTGTGTCTGTCTGGCCTTCCAGGTTTGCTCGGCTCATTCCACCGCAGCTTCATGCACCAAACCGTGAGTGCAATTTGAAGGGCTGTCAGAAGAAGAGCTGCAATTGAGGAGACGGAGAGCACGGAGTCTCATTAGCGCGAAACAGCAGTTGTGAGGATCGAGCATTAGGGCACTTGTGCGCGTTCGTCTGAACCCTCGTGCCCGTCTCAGTGCAGCCCCGCTCAACACTCGAGCCAAACCGTATATTCTCCTATCTTGGTCTGAAGTAGCCATGGCCCCTCTTGGCCTGTCGCTTGATCAAGCGCTGACACTACCTGGACTGACACAGCAGCCTTGTCAGCCGCGGCGAAGGCGCTGCACATGCGCCGCGTCTCAAACTGTCCACGCAGGCGGCTTTCCCACCTCTCGCCCGCCCAACTCCTCTCGGACGGCACGCGACGGCGCGCGCACAAGGAGTCGTTCCGCGCGCCAAGATCCTAACCATGGCGCTCGCAGCAGCAGCGGCGATCTGCCACGCCTCTCCAGGACGTTTCAGCCTCGCGCATCGCGGTCTCCGCTCCCGGAGTCCAACGATGCTCCAACGTCTCTTGCTCCCTCTGCTTTCTCACCCCCGTCATCCCATGTACCCTCTCCTCCTCCCGCTTCTGCTCCAGCAGCGGCTGTAGCTCCTACGGCTACGGCTGCACTCATAGCAGCTATAGTTTCGGGCCTGGCTAACCCCGCACCAGCTGCGGCTGAGGCTTCGGCAGCGCCAACCCTCCTGCGGCTCCTGACCGATGCCGCAGGAGGTGTAACGTCAGGCGTGGCTTCCAGTACTCAGGCGATTCAGGCCATTCACTTGCCTGACGCTGCTGCTGCTGCCACCGCTGCGGCAGACCAGGCGAATTCTTTCGCCGCAGCTGTAGCCAGCTGGGTCCAGACTATCGTAGAGCAATCTCCGATTGATGCCGCAACTGCCGCCGCATCCGCCGCTGCTAGCGGACCAGCCAGTGCAATTCAGGCGGGAGCTGATCTTGGCCGTGCGTTTCAGGAGCAGGGACAGGCTGGGGCGGCGGCAGTGCAGCAAGCCCTGGCGGCAGCTGCCGGGGGGGTGGGTCAGGCGGGCGCGTCAGCAGGTGCTGCCGTGAGCGCGCTGTCAGGATCCGCGGGGTCGGTAGGGACTACTCTTGCAGGCTCGCCTGGGCTGTCGCGGCTCGGTGAGGCTTCCTCTGCGCTATTGCAGGTAAGGGGACGCACTAACTTTCTACCCCTTAATCTTTTCTGTTGGTCACATTCTCTTTCTCCCTCTGTTAGTCGCATCCCACCTCCAATCACCTCTCATTTCACCCTCTCGTCCCTCTCCCCGCACGTCATGTCCGCCCCGTACAGAGCTCGGACCATCTCACGTCGTCGTTGCGCGTGTCCGTCGACTCCGCCTTAGCGCAGGCCTCCGCCGATCCCGCCTTTCTCCCTACCGCCGCTGCCCGCCTCGCAACCTACCTCGCCTCTTCCCTCGCCTCCTCCGCCTCCTCCCTCGTCTCCTCCTTCTCCTCCCAACCTGTCGTCGCGCCGACAGCGGCGGCGATCGCGGCGGGCCTCGCGGCACTGCTCGTGAAGGCGGTGGTGGAAGCGGTGGGCGACGCGCGGGAGAAGGGCCGGGAGATTCCGTCCACGTACGACCCGGAGGCCATCGCGGCGTATTTCAAGCTGCGCCCCGCGCGGGTGGTTGCGCGCGCGGTGTGGGTGGCGGCGCAGTGCTCGGAAGTACTGGCGGGGCTGGCCCTGGACTACGCGCGCGGGGAGGTGAAGCAGAACGAGGGGCTGCGCGCGCAGCAGACCATGGAGCTAATCACGCGGCTAGGCCCCACTGCGATTAAGATAGGCCAGGCGCTAAGCATTCGCCCGGACATCATGCCTCCCGCGTACATCGATCAGCTCCAGACCCTGCAGGATCGCGTCCCCTCCTTCCCCTCCGCCGACGCGCGCCGCATCATCTCAGACGATCTCGGCCGTCCGGCGGAGGAGGTATTCGACGGCTTGGATAAGCCCGTGGCGGCTGCGTCCTTGGGGCAAGTGTACCGCGCGCGCGTGCGCGCATCGGGGGAGGTGGTGGCGGTGAAGGTGCAGCGGCCCGAGGTGCGCGAGGACATCTGCTGCGACCTGCTGCTGTTGCGCACGCTGGCGCAGGTGGCGTCCGCGCTCCCCGGCGTGCACACGGACCTGGCGGAAGTGTTGGACTCGTTCTCCACACGCTTCTGGGACGAGCTCGACTACCAGAAAGAGGTGCGCCGACAGTGTGTTCTGGACTGTGGTCTGCGCTGCCTCTTGTGCGTCTTGCTCTTGGCCCTTCCCCTTGTCATGTAATATTCATTTTCTTCCACTTCCACCACACCCTCCCCCGCACCCCCAATCCTTTTCTCTTCCTCCCTCACACGCACACACACACAAGAGCCCGCGCAACTCACCCCTCCCCCCCGCCCATCTCCCCCTCCTCTCCACTGAAAAATCCGCGCTTTCGTCATCCCCGTTGCCGCGGCCTGATCCCTCTCCCCCCTCTCCTCCTCCCTCCTCTCCTCCTAATCAACCCCATGGGCAGGGCGCCAATGCCACGCGGTTCAGAGAGGACATGCAGCGGTTGCGCAACGTGGTCGTGCCGCGTGTACTCACGGACCTCACCAGCACTCGGGTACGTGGCTGTATAGGGGGTGACAGTAGCTACGAGAAGTCGGTGGATAGCAGCGTGGCAGTGGACAGGGGGTCGGAGGGAGGAGGTAGCGGTCAGCAGGTGGTCTGTCAGCGTAGGCTAGACAATGGCGTGCAGGGAATCTGATGCACGAGCATCTTCCGCCCAACAACGTTTGCGCTTGTGGGTTGCATGGGCGCACGGAGGGACGGACGGACGGATGAAGTAACGGAGGGGACGATTGCAGACCCAGAGCCGGATGCCCGCAGGAACTGAGCTGCACAGGCTGCCACACCACACGGACCTCCAGCCTTCCCGCTGCTCTCTTTCTTTCACCTCACTGCCTGTCCCCAAACACATGCATTGCATGCACGTTAATTCACACCTCAAACCCCCCGTCTCCCCGCCCCTCAATCCCCTTACACACCCTCCCTTCCGTTGGCCCACCCGCCTCAGGTGCTAACAACTGAGTGGGTGCAGGGCGAGAAGCTCTCGGACGCACAGACGGCTGACGTCAGCAGCCTGGTAACCCTAGCGCTCAACTGTTACCTGATCCAGCTGCTCGAGACAGGCTTCCTGCACGCGGACCCGCACCCGGGGAACCTTCTGAGAACCGCGGATGGCAAGCTGTGCATCCTGGACTTCGGGTTCATGACCGAGGTGCGCGCCCAGGGTGCACGGTTGGGCCCATCCAATCCAAAGGGCTCGGGAGAGGGCGATGTGGTGGGCTCCGACGCGCTTTCCCAACTCATCCAGCCTCAGTGCTCGCTCGCCCTCGCTGGCTCCTCTCACCCCTCACCCGTCCATCCACTCCTCTACCCCAACGCTCCCGCAGCTATACTCATCCTCCTGTCCCTTTCACTCACAGCGACTCTCAACACAACTGCACTCCCTCTTTCCCTCGCTCCCTCCCCCTCCTCCCTGTATCAGGTCACGGAGCCGCAGCGCTACGCCCTGGTGTCGTACATCACGCACCTGCTCAGTGCGGATTACGAGCGCGTGGCGCAGGACCTGGTGGTGCTGGGCTTCGTGCCGCCTGACCTGGTGGACGAGGAGAAGACGCGGTCCGTGGTGCCGCAGCTGGCGCGCGTCATGTCGCAGATCACGCAGGGGGGCGGGGCGCGCAACATCAACTTCGGGCAGGTGGCGGAGGACCTGTCGTCCATGGCGCAGGACTACGTGTTTGTCATTCCCAGCTACTTTGCGCTCATCTTGCGCGCCTTCGGCACACTCGAGGGGATCGGGCTGGACCGGGATCCGAGCTATTCGACGCTGCAGGAGTGCTACCCGTACATTGCCAAGCGCCTGCTCACTGACGACTCGTACGTGCTGCTTGCGGCTGCCTGTGGGACATGGGTGGGAAAGGATGCATGTGCAACATATCGTGCGGCTGGTCTCACATGGTGCTCTTCCAACGCCCCTCACACTCTCCATTTTCTTGCCGCGCCTCCCCTCCTCCCCCATGCCTAAACCCTGGTCTTCCCGTCTTGCCTTTCCCTCTCCTCTGTGCCCCCTCACCGCCCTGCCCCCAGCCCACGGGCCCGAGCAGTGCTGCGGGACTTCCTGTACGGGTCGGGCGAGCGGCTGGACGTGGCGCGGGTGGAGGAGCTCACGCAGAACTTCCTCTCCTTCCGCCACCTCATGGCCACGCCGCCCTCCGCCTCGCCGCACCTCGATGCCGTTGCTGTCGACGCCATCGCCTCTGCTGCCGCCGCTGGCGCTGCTGGTGCTGATGGGTCAGCTGATGCCGCGAGCACTGGCGACTTCAGACCCGTGGCTGCTGCTGTGGCTGGGGCAGGGAGGAGAGAGAGTGGTGTGGCAGTGCAGGGAGCAGCAGCTGGAGGGGGTGTGTGGGGGGGGGTGGACGAGGGCGTGGGGGTAGTGGATCCAGTGGCGTGGGAGGTGGTGCAGACGGTGCTGGCGCCAGAGGGCAGCTACGTGCAGGAGCTCGTGCTCACTGAGGTCAGTGCCACTGCCACCGCCAATGCCACTGCCTGCTCCCATGCTCTGCTGAGCTCTCTCTCACACTCTCTGGTCGTTCTTACCTCTCACCCTATGTTGTGCTGCTGGCAAGTCACCCCTGTTGCCTCATCTCATCCGTCTGCTCCCTCTCTCCGTTGCTCCCTCCAACCCCCTGCACCCCCCCTCCCCCCCAGATGGCGCGAACAGTGGACGCCATGTCTCGGGAGGCCCTAGCGGCGCTCTGGTCCGCCCTGGTCGCCCGCACACTGCTCCCGGTGCCAGCACAGTTGCAGCAACCGGGCACGTACCCGCTGCCCTTGGTCATCCCGGGGGCGGTGCTGGGCATGGTGAGCGGGGACTGGCGCACTGCCAGCCTGTCGGACGACGATGTAGAGGCGCTGGGCACACTGAGGCGCCTGTGGACGCTGCTGGCCCCGCAGCTCAGGAGCATGGAGCCCGTTGGGGGGCCCTCCTCGCCCACAGGTGCGTTGCGTTGCTCACTCGCCTGCTGAGTCCCCCCCCTTGCGCACCACTGCCCGCTCATTCCCTCTATTCTTCCCTTCCACATGCTCCACGCGCTGCTCTTATTGTCCCTGGTGCTCTGCTCATCGGGTCTGCACCCTGTCATCTGTGTTATGCATCCCCCTCCTTCTCTCGCTCCTCACCCCAGAGGCGCTGTCTTTCTTCCGGGATGCGGCGCCGCTGATAGTGAGCATCGTACCGGGCGCCGCCACCACGGCCACACGCTTCCTGGCGATGCTGCTGCAGCGGCAGTCGCTGCGCCTAGCAGATGACTTGGACGGGGGAGACTCTGTGCAGCAGTGGGAGGCGGACCCCTACTCGCTCGCACGCTCCATCCGCCCCTTCTGGATGCCCCCGGCTAGGTCTTGAGAGGTGTGGCGGAGGGTGCTGGAGCAGCGGCCCGTTGGGCGCCGGGCTGCTGCTGCGGCTGATGCGGGAGTCTGGTGGCATGCGAGAGAGGGAAGGAAGCAGTGCAGGGGGGGGGAGATAGAGCTGGTTTTTTCCCATTCAGCTGGTATGCCCTGCCCCCCTGCTTTAGTTGGGCTAGGGAGCACTTGGCAGCAGCACAGCTTGGATTGTGAATCGCGACACAGTATGGTGAGAGGAAGTACAGATTAGTAAGGCAGAGTTTTGTAGCAGCGTGTGCTTGTATCTGTCCATATGTATTAACGGGCTCTGATCCTTGCTTTTACAGAGAAGAAATGAATGTCCGCATTTAGGCGGTACCTGAGCCAATAGATGTTCCGCGCTGCACCAGTCAGCGCAGGCTTGTCTTTATCCAGACAGCCACCTCTAAGGTCGGTTGGGGGGGTTTGATTTGACCCAGCCAATGCAGATACATATGGCTCACTCAATAACTGAGTCGGCAGATAGGTAGTAGTAGTACACTCCAGTGCTGCTGCTGAAAGTAAGATACAATGGAGAGGACTACCCATTTGCTAAAGCCCTCCTGTGACAGCCCTCCCTCCAAAGCCCGACTGAAAGTCACAATCAGAAATGAACGCATCCTGCACAGCCTCTAAATAAAATCTGTAGTCCAACAACTCTGCTGCCTGATGCCTTTTCTACGAGCTACAGCGGTTGGGTAGGGCGGGAGCAGCTGGGCTTGGGGCGGCCCTGCTACAATAGCCATGCTAAGACAGAAACTCCATCCAGTACTCTAGCAATGATGTCTCGCACTAATGCTCTGTTATTGCAAGAATGTGTTCCTAGTGTAGTGTCTGCAGCCCGATCGAATTTACTCGCTAGTTCTTCACAGTTTTAGTCTTAGCTCTTCAGTTTCACAACCTTTTGAGGTGTTCAAGGTGCACCATATAACCCTTCCAAACCAAACCTGGGCAAAATGGTTGCTTGCGTCATGTCTTGCACACAAGTTGCCGCCATTGTCTAAAAGACCACGGAGTGTACTGCCCCTTCCCCTTCCCAGCATTCATACTCACACACACTCGCACTCGTACCATGCCTCAGCAAATCCACCCTACGTGCCTGTAGGTAGGCACGTTAACTAGACACACCAAAGTCATGCCTTTCCTAGAGAGAGGGAGCTGGAAAGACGAGAGAGGGAGAGGTAGGAAGCAAGCGAGTGCACCGGATGTGCAAGGGAGGAAGCGGAATAGGGGAAAGGGAAGTGAGAGAGAACTGGAGAGAAGGGTGGAGAGAGGGATAGTGCGGGAATGTAAAGGGCAGGAGCATGGGGGCACGCAGTGGTGGGGGGGGCAAGGTCAAGAGCTAAGGGGGGCCGTGTGATCTCCACCTGTTGAAATGAGGCTGCTGCTGGGCTGGCGGCGACGGCTGCTGTTGCTGCTGCTGCTGCTGTTGTGGGTGCCGGAAGCTAACGGGCCGGCGAAAGGAGGCGCGCTGGGCCATGCCTCCTGCTGCTGCACCACCGCCACCACCCCCGCCCATGACCCCAGGCGCACCACCAGCACAGCGGTACTGACGTCCCGGAGAGTCCGGCGGAGAGTGAGGCATGGGCTGCTGTGGCGGCGGCGCCTGCAGCTGGTGGTGGTGCTGGGGAAGGGGGGGTGGGCCCATGCCCAAGAACGGGCTCCAAGAGGCTTGCCCCCTTTGCTGCTGCTGCTGCAGCTGCTGCTGGTGCTGCTGCTGCTGCTGCTGCGAGGGCAGGTGGTGGTGGTGCATGGGAGGAGGTGGGTGGTGCCGGGGAGCGGCGAAGGAGATGGGGTTGTCGGGCCCACGGTGCAGATGGGGAGGCCGGCGGTGAGGGGCTGGTGGGAGGGCAGGGTTGAGAGGAAGACAGGATTAGGGATCAGGGCATTGCGGTGGGGAGAGGGGAAGAGGGAGAGGGGAAGATGAAGAGGGAGAGCAAGAGAGATGGGAGGGGTGGGGGTAAGGGAAGAGAGAGGGGGAGAGGAGAGGGGAGAGCGAGAGAGCAGGAGCGAAAGAGAGAGAGGTTGGGAAGAGAACAACTTACAGCGTGATGGGGAAGGTGGCCGGTCTCCATAGCCCGTTGCGCCATGCCCATGCCCGTGGCCGTGCGGGTGTGGGTGCGAGTACCCATGACCTTGCCCATGCTCATGCCCATGTGTCTGTGCATGTGCATGGGAGCGAGGGCCGTCGGCCAAGGGCTGAACCCGCCAGCTAAACTGCAACCCACCACGAGGAGGCGAGTTGGAGCACCCATGCTGCAAACCCCTCTCTACAGCCCCCCCCCGCTCTATACCTCCTCCTCTCTCCAGGGCCCCCCCTCTCCATGCAGCCTGCATGCCCCCTTCCCCTGCTCCACCCAGCCCTGCCCCGTGCCCTGCTGCTGCTGGTCCTAGCCCAAACGAGTGGCTATGCAGGTGGGAGCGCTGGCTCGAGAGGGGATGCATGTGTGGGTGGTCGGGAGAGCGGCGCAAGTGGGGTGGAGAACGGGGAATGTTGGGAGGGGGCGGGGAGTGGCTGGAGGACGAGCGGGGTAGAGAAGAGCGGAGGGAAGGGGAGAGGGAGCGATGACTAGGGGTGTCAGCAGCACTGCCGGAGGAACTGCGGAAAGTGCGACGGGGGGGAGCGGTCATAGGAGAGGATTGAGGGGGGCGGGCGGGAGGAGGGAGGGGTGAAACGGGCTGTCCCTGACTGTTGTTGGAACCTTGCTGCAGAGGAGAATGCTTCACACCTGCACCCGCTGCTGCTGCAGCAGGGAGGGGCGTGCCTACAGGGGTTCCGGACGGCGTTCTGAGCGCACCAGGGGTGGTTGGAGTGGTGGCAGCAGCAGAGGGCGCAGCAGGAGGGCCCATGAGACCAGCCTTGCGGTTCGGTGACCCCCCACGCTGCAGCTCTTCCCCAATGGCGCCTACCCTGTCCTCTACCATCCCCTGCGACCCCTGGCTTTGGCTCTGCTCCCTCTCTTCTATGCTCTGCCTTTGCACGCTCCCCTGCACGCTGCACCCCCTGCCACTGTCTCCCACCGCTGCTGCAGCAGCCGCAGATCTTGAATCCATGCCATCACCAGTGCAAGCAGCACCAGACCCAACGGCGACCCCAGCGGATGCGCTAGCAGCACCTGCAACGGCTGTTGCGGGAGAAGCTGTTGCGCCTGCTGACCCAGCTGGTGCAGCAGGGGAGGGGGTTGCGAAAGGCGGAGGGGGGGCCCGGGCAGCGTAGGGCTTTCCCGGTTGCAGGGGCGTGAAGGGAGAGAGGGAGAAGAGCTGTGGGGGCGCGGATGGCGTGTAGGGCGTGGTGGGCGAGGTGGACAGGTGCGGTGGCCCGTTGAGACCCCTTGGGGAAGCTGCCAGGGAATGCGGCAGAGAGGGGGGGGAAGAGGGGGGTGGAGGGGGGGAGGAGGGACGGAGTGGGAGAGAGGAGGAAGGGGGGATGGATAAGAACAAGATGAAAGAGGAGGTCGACAGGTGCAGCTGGGGATAGGATGAGTTTGAAGAAAAGAGAGCAGGCCATGTGAGGATGAGCTGCAGGAAGCACTTGCAAGCAGCGAGACAGGGACTGCAAGCGCAACACGGCGTCTCGTCCCGTGAAAAAATTGCCTGGAGGGTGTTGAAAGACATGCATCCATACACAACAGCACTATGCAGCTAGGGATGAAGCCTGAGTCACCTGCAGTGACAGTCGGTGGCGCCTGAGTGAACGAGCGCACTCTCCTGGGAGTGTGCAGCCCATCCTGACTTCCCATCGTCCTCTCTTGCCCCTCCTCCTCCGCACCCACTGGCACCGCTGAATTC